CAAGAAATGATGAGACTGATTTCACTGATGAAGAAGAGGAAGATAGTGACTTCTATCAAATCTGGAATTACATTTTTTTTTGGCTGGACAAACGGGACTTGGTTCTGATCTAAAGATGTTTTCAAGTTACTATAAATAGATTTTAGTATGATCATAGAATGTTAAATGATATGTAGTAGGGGGTTGACCCAGTAAATCTGGTGTGTGCGATGATTGAAGTTTGTAGTATTAGTTTTAAAATCTTAATAAAATTTCTTAAAAAAAACACACACACACACATCCACCACATTCCCTCCATCTAGCCACCTCGAAAGCTTGTCATAGAATTCCACAAGTTTTGCCTGGCAGGACCTGTAATTGCGGAAGCCATGATGTGTGGCCACCAGCCTCCCTTCCCTATCCAGCATCACTAGATCTCTCACTATTATGAGCCTTTCCATTGTTTTTCCTACAATGGACGTAAGGCTAACTGGTCTGTAATTCCCCATGGCATTTCTACTGCCCTTTTAGAAAATTGGGACCACTGATGCCACCCTCCATTCCTCTGGAACTTCACCTGTTCTCTACGAGGCCTCAAAAATGGAGGCCAGAAGGCATGAGAGAACCCCTGCCAACTCTTGAAGTACTCGTGTGTAACTCATCAGGGCCCAGTGCCTTTGTAACATTCAGTGCCCTGAGGAGCCCTTGACTTCTAGGGGGATGACTCTAATCTGTGCCCCTAAGTTCCCGGCCTCATCTAAGCTCCCATGCGGATCTCCCCCATCCTGCTTTGGAGAGAACACAGAAGCAAAATAGTCATTTAGCATCTGTGTCTGTTCCCTTGTATGTCACTGGATCCCCTTCCTTCTTATTTAGTGGTCCCGCTACCTGTCTCCCCTTACTCTTGCGTTTCACATGCTGATAGAAGCCCTTTTTGTTGCTCTTGATATTCTCTGCAAGTCTCAGCTCATAATCAGCTTTAGCCTTGCGAAGAATCCTTCTGCAATGGGCCTCTCCCCCGCCCCAGGTATATAATTTTTGTCTATTTGCCCCAGTACCCATTTCCCACTGAGGTTCCCCTTGTGTCTAAATCTCTCTAACCACCTCCTTTCACATCCATGCTGGCACTTTCCTCTGCCTCCCCGCCTTACTAAGTAGAGGTATTGTCAAGGCTTGCACCTCCAAAACCTCCCTTTTGAGTGCCATCCACCCCTCCTCAACTCCCTTGCCTTCCAGTAACCTATCCCAGAAGACTTTCCCCAGTCTGGCCTTCAGTTGGACAAAGTTGGCCCTTGTGAAGTCCCAGCTTCTAGTGCTCAACCTGCTGCACGTCCCCATCCCTCTGATCTCAAGCAAAGGATGGAGTGATCACTCGTATCCAGAGCTCCCCTAATCTGTACTTCATATATCAGCTCCTCCCTGTTGGTCAAGACCAAGTCAAGGTTGTTTCCCCCCTCGTTGCCTCTCAGACCCTCTGCATGAAAAACCATCCCTCTATAATGTCTAGGGAGCAATGTGACCTGGCTGTCACCGCTGAATGAGTCTCCCAACTAATATCCAGGAGACTGAAATCTCCCATAATTACTGTGTCCCTCCCCTGAGATATCCTTAGAATCTAATCTTTCAGGACATCATCCAGGGCCTCCAGGGGCTCAAGATGACCTGGAGGGTGATAACATACCTCCACTGCCAGTCCCTCCCCCTGTCAAAACCCCTTAGTTTCACCCAGACTGCCTCCACCAGATCCCCATCTGTGCTGCATTCTCTCTCACTGCAGCCTGTCCCTTCCTTGTCATATAAAGCTACGCCCCCACCCCTCTTTCCCTTGCTGTCCTTTCTAAACAGGTGATACCCCTCTGTTGCATTGCAGTCTTGCCTTTCATCCCACCAAGTTTCTGTGATCCCCACCAGGTCATACCGTCCTATACCCAGGAGAAATTCAAGCTCTTCCTGCTTATTACCCATGCTCCTACCATTGGTGTACATGCACCTCGACTCCTTGCCACAGCTTCCTTTTTTTGGGATCCCCAGCCTCCTCCTTCCTCCCATCTGCCCTGATACCGGTCCCCTCGTCGTAGGAGTCCTGTCCGCCCCTGAAGTACCTCTAAAACTCTGGTCCCAGAGCCCTGACCCTCTCCCCTCACTTGTCCAATCAAACTTGTCCAATCAGGACAAGTTTCTGGGGGGCCTGAAACACCCCCCCCCCAGCTCAGTTTAAAGTCTTCCAGACAAAGCTTGCTAGAGCATTTCCAAAGGACCTTTTCCCTATCCTTGTGAGGTGCAACCTGTCCCTTGCCAGAAGTCCATTGGCAAGAAACCAGGTGTTGTGGTTGAGGAACCTGAAGCATTCCTTCTGGTACCACACCCCAAGCCAGTCGTTCACCTTGGCAACCCTCCTTTCCCTGGCTGGCCCAAATCCCTGAACCAGTAAGATAGATGAGAAGGCCACTTGGGCCTTTAGGTCCCTGAGTTTCTTCCCTAAAGCGTCAAAGTCCCTGGTCATCCTGACCACACCCTAACTGGCTATGTCATTTGTCCCCACATGGATCATCAGAAGTGGCTGGTGACCCCTAGAGCGAACAAGATGCTCCACTCTATCTATTCCCTGGCCCTCGCCTCTCTTGCAGCAGCCTCCTGGCCGCATGTGGTCCCAGGCTGGGGGTCCTGCTGGTCCCCCAAGGCCTCATCAGCCCCAGCCTCCCCAAGCAGAGAGAACCTGTTTCTCAGCTCCAGATTGGCGCCAGGAGAAGGAGGAGGCCATGCCGTGGGTGACATGCCTCCCTGTCTCCCTGGCTGTTCCTCACGGGTCCCCTCCCTCGACCCTCTGTCTGGAGGGGGGCTGCTCCCGGGGGGCCTGGAGAGCTCTCTCAGCCCTCAGACCCCCTCACCTCCTCCTCTGGGAGGGTCACCAGCTTGCACTGAGGGCAAGTGTATCCCTGCCTCTCGTGAGGGAGAAGGGCGAACATGTCGCAGCTGTCACAGTGGATAGTAACACCTGTGATTCCCGCCAAGGCCATCTCCTAGCCTGACACTGGGAACCCCTCAGAGACCCTACCTTGTTCCCCCACCTTGTCTGTCCTGCACTACTCCTCACTCGCCTAGTTCTCCCAGACAAAACCCACACACAAACAAGGACAAAACAAAAATTTAATTAAAAAAAGAATTTAAAAAAGAATAAAGAGATAGATAAAGATAAAGCCTTGCCCCCAGGGAAGGGAGTCCCCAGGCTGCCCAGGCCACAGCTAAGGAATGCAGACAAGGGACGATGCCTTATAAGCCTCTCAGGCTGGTGTCCCCGCCCCTCTGCTTCCTCCTGGCCTCTCTGGCCTCACCTCCCTTGCTCTCCACTGCTCCTGCCCCCCACTCCTCTGCCCAGCTCCTACCTTGTCCTCACCAGTCCCCTGGCCACCCTCAGCACTCCCCCAGCCTCTGCCTCTGCTGCTCTACCAAGAGGCAAGAGCCAAAAGGGCTTGCAGTGGCTGAGCACAGCCTTATAAGCTTCTCCAATCTTAATCTTACTGTTAAGATTGCATGGAGTTAGGCCTTAGACCAGAGGTGGACAAACTGGAGAGACTATCCCTTGGGGAAGAGTTTCAAAGAAAGTTAACTCAGGGGAAAAGTGATAAGGGAATTTACATATGAATTGAGAGTTTACTTACCTATAGATAAATTAATGTCTGAAAAGGTCCACACCTTCAGAATATTCAACAACTTTCTTGCCCCTGAGTGATATTTTGATGATGGCCAATATCTGCTTAACAGTAGAATGCCAACAGGGCATTTAAGCAGGGTTCCCAACAGCCAGGCTCTGGTTCCCCACCTAGCGTACCTCCAGGGCCACCCTCCTGACCCAACTCTATCACGCTGACTAAGGACGCCATCTAGGCTGCAGTTGTCTCCAGTCCAACTCAGAGCCTGCTTTTGGGTCCTGGAGGCAAACACTGCAGCAGAGTGGGGAGAGGAGTCAAAAAAGAGACTTTGGGCAAGAGACTCAAGGAACTGCCAAATTCAGGTGGGCTTTTCTTTGCTCTGGCTGGTCGGCAGACGTGGGTCAACCAGGGAGAAGAGGGTTGTGGAAACAAATGACTGGCTGTGAGTAATGCTTTAGATTTGTCAAGCACAACAACTGGTTCCTTGCCAAGGGAGTTCTGGTGAAAGACGAGGTGCACCTCACTGGGATGGGGGAAAGGACCATCAGGAATGCCCTAAAACAACGATACATAGTTGCTGGGAAAATTCATTCCCTACCTAATCAATCCAGCAAATTCATTAACTATAAGGACTGCAGTTCACCCAAGAGAGAACAGAATTCTGACTGCTGTGGCAGAGGGTCTTGGTGTTGCCAGCAAGAGAGACGTGTGGCTGCTGCATCGCCACCAGGTGCTGTATTTTTAGGGAGTGTCTTGCTTTTCTGCTTCCTTAACACAGGTACCAGGTAGTTTCTCATGTATGCTTTCTTATAGGAAGCACATCCAGACACAGATGCTGTTCATGATTTTCAAAGGCATACACATTCAGATGCGTGTTTGTCATGTCTCCTCACTCTAGACAGCCTAATAGGCTATGGGGTGCTATATAAATGCAATAAATAAAATAACAAGCCATCCTGTAAGCGTTTGTAAGCTGTCCTGGATGTTTTTTTTCATACAGGACGGGATAGAAGTATTTTAAATGAATGAATGAATGAATGAATGAATGAATAAATAAATAAATAAATAAATAAAATATTTTAAGCCCTTTCCTTCCTTGTGTAAGAATTTGTGTATCCAGATGCTGATAATTTCTTACTTTTCAAAGTAAACCAGATAGAATAAGACAGAAGATGATTTGGGAATAACTGATATCTGTGGACTAGAATATCCAAGAAACTGAATATGCCACATTATGTCAACCTCTTTAATGGATATGCTGGACTGATCATAGGGAACATTATCATTAAAGTTCTACACATGTGGTCTTTTGACACTGTTTTTGACACCAGAGCCATGTGGGAAAATTCCAGCGAAGGGCAGGCACATTTGTCTCTTTACATCAAAGCTTTAATCGGAATACTATTTCATTCATGTATATTATACAATTCAGGGTATGGGATACACTGCCAGCTCTGTCTTTTATATGACTACAGCATTCTGTCCAATATAAATGATATACAACATATGTGCTCAAAGCTTAGAGTGGAGTCACACAAGCAGGTCCATTTTTTGCTAGTGTGGGAAGAAGCCTTTTTAAAAGTCTTCCCTAAGATTCCAGTCTTATGGGTGCGTCCATGTATATTCAGAGCTCAAGGCTACATAGTCCTGCAAACCTCAGAAATCATAAATACAGAATCTGTATTGGCATGTACTCTGAGTTGGTCTAGGCACAAGACCTGCGCCAGTGATATGGACAGACACCTTAAAGCTTAAAGGAAAGGAAGGTCTTTTTGTAGGGTAAAATTGGTGTGACTTCTGTCTTACTGTACTCCTCTGTTTATCTCCATGTAGCTGAAACTGAAGAAGGGAAACCTGCACAAGGCTGGACCTCGGTTTGCTGTGCTAGAATCAGACAGCCAATATGGAATCTTGCAGTTACAAATGGCAAGGACCAGGTGAAACCCAGTTGCCTGAGTGGATCCTTTGCCGACCATCTAGTTCTTACTGCTTCTTATCATTTGTTTACTAAAAATAATAAAACAAATCAATGCTTGGAGAAAATGTCAATATTTTTAGAAGCACCCTGACTCTTTTTCACTGGTCCAGGCCTAACAATGATGAAACAAGATGAAAATCCTAATACTGGATTGGTTAAGTGTCTAAGGCCAAGATTTTTAAAAATGTAGGCTGATGGGTGTGCAACTGCCCCAGCCTCCACAGCAGAAGTATTACAAATCTGATATTTCTTTGTAGAGAATGGTTTAACATCCCCATACCTCCTCTGTTACATCACATACATCTGCAAATATAATATTACACAGAAGCATAGCTTAATTCTCTTGCTAGCATTGTACAGCATATCTAGATCTGATTGTAAACTCTCGATGGATTTTATATAGATCTCAGCTCACAAAAAGTTGGCCGAACATGGAAATAATGATCACAAGGAGAAAAATGTTCCTTTTGCATTAAATATTTTACTCTTTCTCTATAACTGTCCACTTGCTGGGTTATTGGCTTCCATCAACAATTTCCCCCTGGTTCTATGGATATTACTATCTAGGTTAGAAAACAAAAATGTACAAAATTTGAAAATCCCCATGTATGAAACAAACAAAACAGAAGAACAAGACCAAACACAGAGAGTACAAGTCTTAGCGAAGCGAGGCCCTTGCACTAGAGGTGGGCAATTGATTTGGGAAGCTAGAGTCAAAGGCTTATTTTTAAGGGAAGCAAAAGCAGGGGGACTTATGGTGAAGACACACAGAAAATAAATTATTTGGGCAGGGCTTCCCTGAAAAAAAAAAAGAAAAGCCTTTGGAATGTATGGATTATGTGTTTAAAACACTTCCATTTGGGTCCTTTACCTTTAGAATTGAAGAAAGTAAACATTTCTTGGGGATTGTTGTTTCCATGCATTAGCTAGAAAAGCTATTGCAATTAAAAAGACAGACAAAGAGATCAATTTATAGCTAGTCCATAGCTAAATGAACACACATAGCTAACAATATATTAATAAAAGCTAATTTCTGCCAAACACATATGCTGGCAATGCTCTCAATTCAGGACAGAAACAGACTACAGCAGAGCACCCAGACATGTTTCCTGTGGCAACGGTAACTGCGGAGAAACAGTCACCTCTAAGTATGTGCCAAGGAGTTTCTTAGCTTATGGGATGATGAAAGACTAGAACTGCCATGCAGTTAGAGCCAGCATGTGATAGGCTTTTACATGCTATCATATGGCTGTCGTCTACACTTTTCCAGAAAAAACAAGGATAGTGTATTCTCCCTTAGATTTCTTTCGACAACCTTGGGACCACTGACAAGACATATTAGGGTTTGGGCTCTTAAACAGTTGGAGTGCACTAGGTTGGGGAAGATGTGCAATTTCATCAGCTCAGCCTGATGTCTAGGGAAGGGACTTGGGCAGCTCTAGTATTAACATTCAGTGCCTGTGTTCTCTGGAAGCATACTGGCTAGGATTCTCCTCTGCCAAGGGCCACTGCATCGGCTTGGAAGCAAAGCTGAGTATAAGCCTCAGGAGCCCTTGAGGCAGACATTTCAGGATTTTCCTAATCTAGAAGCTTCTTTGAGAGCAGCCTCCTAGCACTGATGAGCGTTCCAGTAAGATTTCTACAACTAAAGTGACTGTTCTGACAAGCTATATGCTTTGCAGGCAGGAGCAAGTCTTATTTTCAGCAGCAGTAGCACGGTTTCAGCAAAGGGCTATTACAGTCTCTGGATCACCCACAATCTCACTGTGCACCATTTTAAAGGTATCAATGAACAAGTCCATCCACTCCTGCCGCTCCTGTCCAGTGGCAAACTTGGCTTTTTCGGCAGTATAGGCCAAGGTGGCCACCAGCTGGGTGTACATGTTGGAGTCCTGGATCTCCCTCGTGGAGTTCAGGAACTGGGCGATCATAGGTTTGGTGCTGGGAAAAGTTATCTTGACTCCCTCTTCCATAGGGCGGAAAATAACTGGGTTTTCGATCCCAGGGTTCCTCCCATCTGCAAGTGAGTGCCAAAAGAATATTTTCAGGGCTTTCTGGTATGGATCTCTTATTTTGATTCAGTTTGGTTTTGTATGAAGCAGGTGTTGGATTGGCAGCATTTGATTTTAGAAATGGTGGTTCCCTGGATGAAGGTAGGGCAAGCCCTGCTAGCATATAGATTTATCCTGGCAGAAGCCACATTTGCTGTCTTTCCAGGCATCAATCCTTATTGCCAAAAGGAAAACAAAAACCAAAAAGTTCACTGATGTGGCAACCTTGTGTCTGAGCTATAGCAATTCAAACTATAGATGGGGGCTCACATGATGGAAGGCTGCTCTGTACAAGGTAAATTTCCTTTATATACAAAATTAGTATGCCAGAGAAAGAGTGAGCCCCTGGCATGCTAGTTCTCAATGAAGAAAGCCTTTCTACATACATAGATAGGCTTTGATCATGTGAAGCTTAGGATTCTTAGATCACTTTATTTCCTGCTGTTATCAGTTTTGCACATATTCATTCACATGTTCATGCTATCCAGTTTCTGTACTAAGGCTGCAAATCTTTTTAAAATAAAAACACATTTCATTTCATATACACTTTCCTTAACAGATACATTTTTACATTCAACTTCTAATATATTTTTGTACATTACCTTGCCTAATATTTGCCATTTTTGCCTACTATTTTTCATAATCCAAAGGATAACTATGTTCCAATCCCCGTATTACTCTGGAAAAGGCAAAATGTGGACCAGATGAAATTCTTCCTTATGTCTACATGAGCCTGGATCTACAGTCTGAATGGCTATAGCTCAGGCCCAGGTTGCCACAACTGTGAGAACTAGGATCTGGTCAGACTGGTAAAATTCTGCACTACATCCTGGACTGCAATGAAAAACACTAACATGGAACCCAGCAGTTTGCATCTGGAGAGGGGCAGCATCTCCCATGGCTATGTAATCCTATGGCTTCTAGACAGCATCTACATGGCTATGTGATTTTTCGAGACCTATCTATAAGGTAGGAAAACTGCTCCAGACTTGTAGCTGGTGCTCCATATTTGAGCGCCTCCCCTTCCTGGACTGGCTATGTCTGAGAGGCTGCAAAGGCAACTTCAGAAATATAGTTTGGGGGTGGGGAGGGAAGGAGACAAGTACCACCAAGATAGAAGGTATTCTGGCAATGCTTCAGTTTCCTTCCCTTCCACTTTGAAGCACCTCAACTAGATGGCCAAAATCAGAAATCTAGCTGACTTGCAGAGCAGAAGGAGTGCAGGGATGACATCCATCTCCACAGTCCTCCTGCCCTCCATTGGATGCCTCTAATCTTCTGAGTTTGCAGAGTTATGGGCAGCCCAACTGGATTAAACCTTTAAGGTCTGGGTTAGAGATATTAAAATCAGCGGAGCTATTCCATTATGCTTACTTAGGCTTAAAAATGCCTCAGTATGGATATATTTGGTCTCTGACAGGATGGCATAATTATGCTGTGCAGCTCTTGCAAAGATGATGATGATGATGATGATGATGATGATGATGATGATTTTTCATTGGTGAAATGTGTGCATAATTAAATTTGATACTGACATTACCTGCTTAAAGTAAAGGGAATTTGTAAAATAAGCATCCTAAGGCCTTCTTTTGAGAAACTAAATCAAACAAGAATTAGCCAGTGAAAATGTGTGAGAATTCTGTTTAAAGTATCGTCTACTCCTTTAGTGTCCATAAAGTGACACTAGTATTGCTGGGTCATTAACACTACATACAGGTACCCAGCCAGGAATGTTTGCAATGTGCATTTAGTAATTAGCCTGCTGTTTTCTAAAATTGCTCTTTCTACCATGGGAAGAGGAGGAGAAACAAACAGGAAAGTTAGCATTCATGAAGCCCTCCTAAAGCGGCTGATGCCAAAAAAGAAAATCTACAGGGAATTCCTAGTATCTTGTCTTCCCTTAAAGTCTCCTCCTTGACCATGTGAATGGACTAATATGTACATCAACAGAAGGGCCACACTAAGCCCATTAGCATCACTTTGTGAAAACTAACCATCCTATCAGCACAATCAGTTTGGTTTTCTTCTACACCTATTCTAATACTACACACAGCGTATAAATGAATAGTTAGTGAATGAAAACCAAAGCAGGCAATGTAGTGTAATGCATTGATGGGCAACTGGCCTCCAGCAAACCAAAGAAGAGCCCCTAGGGCTCAAACCAAGCACAGCCACATAGCTTGGCAATATTGGATAATATTCTTGATAAATTCAAAAACTTGTCAGCTCCAGCACATTCAAGTTGCACCCTTTCAGCAGCTAAGTCCACGCCTTCAGTGATGTCTGGATGACAGGACCCCCCAGGGACCAACTAGCAGAAGTCCAACTCCTGGATGATAGCTCCTGTTGGTCCCAGAGAAAGAGGGTCTCGGGGAAGGAGAACATCATTGAGGAGGAGGAAAATGATCCCTTAGGAAGGACCTATTCCTGGGAAGGCGAGTGTATATTCTCTCACATGGATACCTCAGTTGGAGGCCTCTATCCATGAGATGAATACCTCTGTCTTTGAGAGCGTCACTAAGCAGGTAGACAGGGGCAATCCAGTAGACTTTGTTTACCTGGACTTCCAAAGGGCTTTTGAAAAGTCCATCACCAAAGGCTTCTGAGCAAACTAAGCAGTCATGGAATTAAAGCAGAGAGGGCTCTTATGGATTACTCATTGGTTAAAGAAGAGAGTGGGAATAAATGGCAATTTCTTCCAATGGAAAGATGTTACTAGTGGCATCCCACAAGGTTCTTTTTTAGGATCAGTTGTTTTCAAATCTATTTATAGTGATCAGGAAGTTGGAGTAAGAGGTGAGATGGCCAACTGGCCTAAATTTTTTAGGGTGGTTAAAATCAAAAAGGATTGTGATGAGCTCCAAAGTGGGGAGAATAGGCATCAAAATGGCAAACATGGTTCAATATAAGCAAGTGTAGGGTAATAAAAATTGGGGCAAACAATCCCAACTTCAAATGTACACTGATAGGACAAGACCTAGCAGTGACTGAGCGAGAAAGGGATCTTGGGGTAGTGATGGCAGTACAATGAAAATGTTGGCCCATTGCGCAGCTACTATGAAGAAGGCAAAGTCCTTGCTAGGCATAATTAGGAAGGGAATAGAAAGGTGGGGATTGGGACTGTTGAGCCTAGAAAAAAGGCAAGCAAGGGGGACATGATAGAGGTGTTTAAAATAGTGCATCTTGTGGAAAATGTGGAGAGGGAGATAGCACTAGTTGCTGGGGTCATTCCATGAACCTGATTGGTGGAAGGTTTAGGACAGATAAAAAGAAGTATTTCTTCACACACAAATGGAATTTGCTGCTGTGGGAAGTGGTGATGGCCACCAATCTGAATGGCTTTATTATAAGGGGACTGGAAAGGTTCATGAGGGAGGAGCTACTAGCTTTGCTGGCTATGTGCTTCCTCTTTTACCAGAGATGGTATGCCGGCATACACCAAGGTTTTCAACTGATCAGGCTTATCTAATTCTTCTACCAATTATTTTTTCTGCTGTTCATTAATTGGGAATGAGCCAAGAACAACTTTGAATAAGCTAGTACTTTTGGCTGCGGAGTGCTATGCATGTTCCTTTGACGCAGATACAGGGTTTGTGCTAGCTAGACTTCAGAACCAAAGCACGAACAGTATGCTTTTTTGGTGCTCCAACAAGTTGACTTATAAAACAAGTATGGAAGACATAACTAGGGGAAGAAATGAGGTATCAAGATAGTTCAGTTTACCAAGAACTAGCAGAATTCTGTATCACTGAAACAGAAATGTTCCTAGAGTATAAGACAATTTGTCCAAAACCTGAAAAACCAACAGGACCCTAGCATGAGCATCCACCACTCTGTCTGGATTTACTTTGAGTCCAGGTTCCACAGTATAACTTTGCTGACTAAAACTGGCAGCTCCAGTACCTTCCAGCTGACCAGTTTCAAACAGATATTTTTCAGGATTACTACCACTGCTGCTACTACTATTATATTCAGAACCTCCCAGCACCATGCCAGAGATGATCTGTCTTACCTCTGTATAGGCACGATGTATTCCAAAAGAGTTTCTAGGGGTTCTTGCTTACAGTTTCTGGCCCTGCTTGTTAATCCCAGAAACGAACTGGGCTGACAGCTGTTTCTGTACTACGATAGACTGTTTCAATGCTGAATGACAGCAACATTTGCATACAACCTACAGTGTGAATGGGTAAAGTTACTTGACGCAGAACAACTGTAACACAAAAAGTATGTACCTGTGGAACAAAGAGAGGTGGTGGATGCTTGTTAGAACAAAAGTAGTGATATGAAGATTATGGTCAAAAATTATTTCTCCCTCTCTCCATTCTATTGTGTGGGCTAGAACTTTGCTTTGCTTGTCTAGAATCAGGATTCTTGTATATTATATAACAAATGGTGTATATGAAAGAATTGTACATAATTCCTGTTTTTACCTGTTTGGCAGGGCAGATCAGGGCAGACAATCTGAGGATCTGCAATGAAACATATACAAAAACAGTATGTTGAAACCATTTGAAGCAGTTGCCAAAGAATAGAACCATACCAAGCTAGACATGATGCAAAAGAAATCAGACGTCTCAACTTTTTGTTATTGTTTTACTTTTCTACAGCCACATGGATGGCGCTCTATTTTTCTGGTAGTGGAGAAAAAGGGCCCATTCAATCTTTTCCCAGCAGTCCATTGACCAATAAATATCAATGCAGAGCCTGTGTGGCAAGGTGGTTAGAGTGGTGGACTGGGACTTGCTGCCAGGATGTGGGCAGCTCCAGGGCTCCGTCTCATGTCCAGAACCAGAACTACCATCACAGTACTTGCAGGATGGGTCCCAGGCCAGCTGGAGCTCTCTGCCTCTTGAGGAGTGCCTGTTGGCAGCCCTGGGGGAAGAACTACGTAACATCAAGTACTTCCCTCCAAAAGCTGCCTCAGCAATGCAGCAATTCTGTTCAGTTTCTGTTTCTTGCATGACCTTTTCTATATAGTTGTGCCTTGGTGTTTCACCTCAACAGCATAATTCTCCTACTTGCTGTTGTGTGTTCCAGGGTTTGCATCCTGTCTGCCCTCTGTCTGTTCTACTTCCTGCCTCCCCTTGCTCTACCTTGTTACCTTGCTCTATTTGCCACACCGTCACTGCTCCAGAACCCTGTCCAGTTATCCTGTCTCAGGTACCTGCTCCCTGCTTTTGTTGGCTTCCTGGTTTGTTTGCAATCTCATCTCTGTCTTGACATTGGCCTGTTCCTTGATTATGACCAAGCCTCTGACTTTATTTTTGAACTCTGGACTATGTTTGGAGTCCATCTTGCCTCAAGCTCTGTCGTCTTGGAGTCGGCACCTTAGGCTTGACTCCTGCCCACATCCCAGACCTTAATACATCCCAGACCCTGAAAAGAGGAGGGATAGAAATAAGCAAATATAAGATAGTCGCAGTATTCTCCCTACCACTGGGAATAAAGTTTCTTACATACAGGAGACCACTGGGCTACAAGCAGAATGAGCCCTGCTAAAATTGCTTTATAGAAGGTATCATACTGACTGAACTTTTGACTACATAGATGCGCCCTTGAAACCTAGAAATCTAGCTGGTGCAAAATTTGGTTATTGTGCTCCTAATAGTTGTGGGCTACAAGTTGTAATAGGATAACAATGTTTCCTGCCACATCATATTCCAATGTTCTTGTCTCAGCAGAAGCAAAATTGACAGACCTGGGCAGAGTTCAAGCTCCATTTTATCAATGAACTCTTCTGCAACCAACTCTGTAAACAACTTCATTTTCTGGACGTTCTCCTTCTTATCACAGGCTATTGAGCGCAGGGTCTCATCTTCTTCTGGCATGTTGAACATGTCTCCAATCCCAATGGCATTGACAGTCACGCCACCAACGCAGAGCGTCTGCAAGTGGGAGTCATTATCTCGAGGATCATGCCGCCCATCAGTCACCACCACAGCAAACACTCGAGCTTTTTCTCTCTGGCTTTGTTTGATGAGTGTATTGTAGGCAAACTGAAGTGCAGAGAGGGTCCAGGTGCCTCCTGCAATCCACTCCAACTTCTTCACTGCCTCTTTGAAACTGGAGAGGGAGTCAATGCGCTTGTCATTCAGCTGGATGGCTTCAAAAGTCCCTTCATGGCTATACTGCACCACCCCAACACGGGCACCTGCCAAGGAAAGAGTATTTATCACACTTGCCTGGATTATTTCCTTTCCCCTAGAAGAAATTGGTGTTTGAGCATCACCACAGAATCATATTGTTCTGCAGCCAGCTGGCTGAAATAGAGAAACCCTTGTGTGTATTGAGCCATGGTTTCTATTTATCCTAATTAGAATTCTTCTAATTCTAAGTCCTCCTGCCAGTGCTAATGTCCTCTGGGAAGAAATTGACCAAACAGGGCAGCTACACTGAGCTCTCACTTGCACTGGAATTTGGAGAAGTTAAGAAACAACAGGTGTCTGCTGTGTCTTTTTCCGAACATCAACGCAAATGAGATGGAACCCACCTTCTCTCTTGAACCTGCTTATACACAAAGAGCAGTTGAGGAAGAATCAGAGATTTTTCTTCAGGAGGGCAAGAGAGACGGCTGCATTTTCTTATCAACTTCATACCTCAGTACAGATTACAGAAAATCCTGTTTATATCCTAACCCTGTTGCATCTGCTGGATGTCCCCATGTGGGGACAAGAGAGGCAACCATAAACTGAGGTTGCCTGAAAAGCGAAGGGATGGTCAAAGCCATCACTTTCATTTTCTCACTTTTCCTTTCCTCAGTTCATTCAGGTTTTGTTTCCACATCTTTGCTTGAAAATTTATATGAATTTTTATACACATTTTCAATTCTTATCAAAATGTGAAATGAGCAAAACTCTCTTTCAATCCATAGATGATATTTTATGACAGCTTTGAGAAGAGAAGAGTGAGGGGGGACATGATATCCCTCTATAAGTACCTCAAAGGCTGTCACAAAGAGAAGGTCAAGATCTCTTCTTGCTGATGCCAGAGTGTAGGACACGGAATAATTGCAACAACCCAGATTCAGACTGGACATCAGAAAAAGCTTCCTCACTGTCAGAGCTATACAACAGTGGAACCAGCTGCCCAGAAAGGCGGCAGGCTCCCCCCACACCCAATAAAGACATTCAAGGTGAAACTGAACAGCCATCTGAGATGGTGTAACTTGGTGTCCTGCAACAGCAGGGGGTCGAACTCAGTGGCCTTCATGGCCCCTTCCAGCTCTAGTATTTTATGATTCTATGACAATTAGTTTGTAATTCTACATGGGCAAATCACACATACAAGACTTCTGTTTTTTGCTTGGGCCCACATTTCCAAAGGAGAATACTTCCTTATTCTCCATCTGACTTTCAGGACTCTCTCAAAGTGAGTTTTGAATTATGTGTTTTGGGAATTATCAGGTCAATGTTAAATGTCCTTGGAAAATAGATGAGTGTCTTAGCATCAATATATGCTTGTCATGGAAACCAATAGATTTTCCTTCACTGAAAATTTTTAAGTCCCCAAATCAAATGGCTTATAATAAGCCTCAAGTAGTAGCTGAAAAACATATCAGTTTGTAGCATTAAATATATATCAAATAGTCACATTTGTCAAATAGATAATGTCCAGCTGTAAAATCAGATACTCATTCATGCCACTAACCTGTCTCGGATTTTGGATCCTTGGCAATAGAACCAAGCCTGCTCACCACATTGATGACAAAGTTCTTCTCCAAGGAGAAATTGGTGTAGCCAATACTCTCTGAACTGTCGATAATGAAGACTATGTCCAAGGGGCCACATCGCTTTTCACAGTCTATGGAAAGCAAAGACAAAGCAAACACAAGTCTTACACTCAAAACACCTTAAAGCTATTCCAGGAAAGGGCCAACCTGGAGACCCCCGGAGTCAACTGCATTACAAAGTATCGTTTAGAACTTTAAACTCTGGAGTTGATTTTGATTTTAGCAACATGCTCTTGGGCTAATGAACGCAGACTCCTCTGTTGCCTTTTCTCTCCAGCAAATACTCAAGCTTTTGTACAACAACAACCACTACTACAACAATGGTGTGTGTGTATTCTAAAAATTGGGCCAGGGGAACTTTTATTTATTTATTTATTTATTTATTTATTTATTTATTTATTTATTTAAAACATTTCTATGCCACCCCCATTGCAACAAAGCCTCGGGGCGGCTCACAACAAGAGCAAAATTATACAATAAAATATTAAAACCCGGTGCATCTCGGCTTAAAAGATTGAAAATCCTATAAATAGCCAATAAATTAACAATTAAAATAAGTTTTAAATAAAAAAGTCTTAGCCTGGCGCCGAAAAACAAATAACGATGGCACCAGGTGGACCTCTCTGGGGAGCGCATTCCATAGATGGGTGTGCAGAGTCCCTCTATCTACAGAAGGCAATTCATGGATTCACCTCAACTTCACTGCAAGTTGAGCATGGCTATCCTGGGGCACTTATGCACAGCCTAAAGCATGATGTAACATTATGCATGCACTCGCACATCAAGATAAACCAGTTTAACTTGAAGTGAATGGGTAGGAATGAGCCACAGGGGGCATCAGGCTTGGGTAGTCCCATTTTCCCCTCTGTTGCTTTCACTTTTACTTAACCAGTTCATCAAATTTGTCCTGTCCTACCTGGAGGAGGATTCTTCAGATGAAGCGAGGCAGCACAGTGGCCCCCAACCACAGTCAGATGCAGGGGCTGAGGCTATAGCCAATTGCCTTCCAGTAGAGAAGGTGGATTAGGCAGTGGAGTCTGCAGCTGGCTTAACTGAGACAGCAGGTTAGTTACGACAACCACCAGCTGAGCCACCTGGTCTCTGAGGACTTCATTTTCCTGAAAAGCAGCCTCCATTCTGTCAGGAATGGTACAGATAATGGGGGTGGCAAACAAGCCATCCTGCTCTGTGCGGACAAATGTCAATTCCCTGTGCTACCTTTCAAAAGACTAGTCAGTTCAGTCCAAAAGCCAACTCTGTGCACTCAGAGTTTAAATCAGGCGGGGGCATCCAAAAGAATGTCCAGGGAGCAAGCCAAAAGTCTAGGTATCCACAATTGGTCTTAAACGAAGCCAGAGAAGCTGATAACAATTCTTGTTGTTTGTCATGAAGAGCAGGCTCTGGCTGATCTAATTTATAGCCAGCTGTAAATCAGTGCAGCATGCCGTGTTCTGAGGGGCTCCATGCTCAGCCTGCTGCTCGAACGTATGCTGGATCCATGAACTCCTCCCCCTCTCTAAAGGGTGAATCCCTTCTGACTCTCACTCCTGTCCTTGAGGATTTCCATGTACTGCCCAAGAGGATCCTGGCTGCTCATCTACTGGAAGGTAGTCAGCTGTAGGCTCATCTCCGAGATATGACTGTGGCCGGGGCCTGCTGTGCTGGCTCTCCTCATCTGAAGAATCCTCCTCCAGGTAGGACAGGACAATACTGCCTACACAGCCATGTGTGCACAACATGGCATGAAGCCACAGTGGGTTTGCATGTTGTCTGAACTCAGTGCAATGTCCCAAGAAGCTTTGCACATGGCATGTGGTCAAGCAGCTACCAGTTGGTTAAAACTATACGTACAGTGCTATCCAGTATGCCTGCCCATAGCCCCCTGAACCCAGGGGATTACAGAAATCTAATGGAACTGAGGAATCATGGCAGTACAGATTGCTTCTGCATTCATCTTGTCCTCCAGAAGGCATGATTTCAGCTGCCTGGGTGAGACACTGCCAGGGTGCATCATAGCCTTCACAGCCTCCCAGATCTCCAAAGCCCCACTGGCTCTCAAGTCGATTTTGTGACTTCAGACCTGCAGCTCGCACTGAACGAAGTGTGTTGGCTGTGAGGGTAGAGAAAGGGCACTTCTCAGCTGGAACCTCGGCTATAACTTCAAAACACATCTGACCATCTGGCCTAGGATTAGTTCTTTACTCTCTGACCAACCACACCTAACCACAAAACGAGTGATAAAAACTGAGCAGAATTTTGCAATCTTAAGACAGCTGTCAAGGGAAGATTAAGCAAAATCATCATCATCACCATCAAGTCACAAGAAAAAGACTCAACTAACCACAACAGCCACAAGTCTCTCTGATGTAGGTCATCACATCACAGTCCTATTAATAAGAACAAGAAGTGTCACAACTGGCATAATGATTACAAAATTCAGTTTGCATCCTCTCATTGAAAGCACAATTGAGACATTGCTTTCTGCATAAAAGAAATCACATGTTTTCTGATTTCTTTCTGTATTGAAAAGGATGTGGCTAAACTCTGATTTTGATAATAGTTTTGTATTTGCCACAGATTTCAACAAAAATCTTATCCAGATAGCAGGAAGCAATATTTCCATGCCTTGTTGCATTGCAGAGGAAACTAGAACTGTCACTGCTTATACAAAAATCTTCCTAGTTAGATATATACTAACAGAAAGCTTTCTTTACTTACAGTTAGTCCAGGATCTCCACCAGGGCCCGGGTCACCCTATAAAATGATGGAAACATTTAAGGATATTTCACCTGCAACAGGAACACTGCTTCTAGATTCTTTCTGGTATTTGCATAATTTAAGAGCATACAGACTTGTAACACACATTGAGCCTTTAGTTAATTGAGAATGTGACTGCAGGGTAACCTGCTGTGGAAGAACTACAAGTCACCCTGGGCAACACTGAACAACAGGCTGAAACACATGTATGTCAGGAAGTCCTGTGGCCTCACCAGGTATGCTGTCTCAGTGATATAACAAGGGTTGCCAGTGCTCATACAGCCCCCAGACACTTATCCCTTCCTTCTTATACCTGTGGGAACAATTGACACCAGAAGAGGAGCTTTGAAGAAATCATGTCAGACTTTGAAGCTTTAGGGAGGAAAATCAAGATCTTTGGGCCCAGATAGTTTTCTCTTCGGTTCTTCCAGTTCTTGGAAGAGGAATAGACAGGGGAAAGATCCTCCATGTTAATGCCTAGCTATGAAGGTGCTGCTGACATGGAAGATTTGGATTCTGTGACCACACGCTACACTTCCTGGAAGATGGACTGCTAGATAGGGATGGGCTTTAACTCACAAGGCCTGGAAAGAATATGCTTGGCCACAACATGAAGTTTTATCAAGAGGGCTTTCAAGCGAATCCTATCAGGAAGGGAGAAACATAGTAACAGAGTGAGTCAGAAAGGGTCTCCCAGGCCATCCAGTTTGACCTCCGGCTCCAGCCTGGCTCCACTTGTGACATGCCTACCTGGGGGTACACCTGGAGGTAACAACAGACAAGGCTTATGCACCACTACAGAGAGAGGAGCTCCAGTAATAGTCTTCAAAAATGTAGGAAGAAAGCATGAGAGTATAAACCATAAGGGCAAGCAGGAGTTTGGCAGCAGAGTTGCAGTGGAAGAGGAGACAAAGGCAGGCAGAGGCAGAACAGTGAGGGCCTGGCCTAGCCCATCAAACAGTCTCTTTCAAGACATTCTAATGAGGGGGGGGCGGGGGGGGGGAATCCAGTGCGAATTAAAAAAAAGGAAATTCTAAAGGCACAATCACAAACAGTTCCACCAAAGAAAAAAGGTAGAAGACAACAGAAGAAGCCTATGTGGCTTCACAAAATGCTTACAGATTATTTGAAAACAAAAAGAACATGTATAGGAAGTAGAAGGCAGGCAGGTTATAAAGAAAGAATAGGGGCTGGTAGCACAGAATTGCAGGGATGGTGTCAGGAAGACTAAAGCTAGGAATGAACTGAAACTAGCGAGGGGTGCTAAAAGCCTTCTTCAGCTATGTCCAAAGAAAAAGACAGAGGAAAGAAATGGGGGTTCAGAGGCTCAGTGTGGATGTCAAAATGATTATACAAGCTGTTGGGGCTTTCTAATTTTTCCAAACTTCTGTCCCAGTTGAGTATTTCTTTCAAGTAAACTGCATATGAAAACTCACATGCATTTTTGTGCACAGATCTCCTAGTACATTTAAATACTAGAATGGTGGTCCTGAATGGTGCAACACTCCCTCTTAGGGACAAGGTCCGCAGCTTAGGAGTGCTCCTCGACCCGGAGCTTTCTTTGGAAGCTCAGGTGACAGCGGTGGCGAGGAGCGCCTTCCTTCAGCTTCGGCTGATTAATCAGCTGCGCCCCTACCTGAAGTACGACTGCCTGGTGATGGTGACACACGCGCTGGTGACTTCCCGCCTAGACTTCTGTAACGCGCTTTACGTGGGGCTTCCCCTGAAGACAGTCCGAACACTTCAATTGGTGCAAAATAGAGCTGCCAGGTTGCTGACGGGGACGGGGCGTTATGCTCACATGACTCCAGTCCTCCGTCAGCTTCACTGGCTTCCCATTGAAGCCTGGGCCCAATTCAAGGTGTTGATTATGACCTATAAAGCCCTAAACGGCTTGGGTCCTGGCTACCTGAATGAGCGCTTACGTCCGTATATGCCCGACTGCCCTTTGAGATCTGCGGGAGAGTCCCTTCTCCGGGAACCCTCCATGAAAGAAATTAGGAGAGTAAGTACTCGGAGGAGGGCTTTCTCTGTGGTGGCGCCCAACCTATGGAATTCACTCCCCAAAGAGGTCCGCCTGGCACCGTCGTTACTGGTTTTTCGGCGCCAGGTAAAGACCTTTTTATTTAAACATCATTTTAATTGTTAAAACATATGATCTGGCCAGGGCAACTTCTTCGTCCTTCTCTTTTCTCCTCCTATATTTTTATTTACTTATTTTATACTGATAATTTTAATTTTATATTTGTAACTCAGTGTATTTTTTGTATTTTTGTATTTAATGGTAATTTATTATGTTCTATTGTATTTCAATGTATTTTATTGTGTTGTAAGCCGCCCCGAGGTTTCGGCAAGGGGCGGCATAGAAGTGTTATAATAATAATAATAATAATAATAATAATAATAATAATAATAATAATAATATCCAATTTTGCAAGCAAATTTCCTATTGTGTTGTATTTTAACTTTGTTTTCACGAATGTATGCATTTTCTCCTAATATACACAATGCAGTACACATTTTTTTGACTGGAGAACTCAATTTCAAAATTTGGCAGTATGAAAATTGGAAAAATGAATTTTGGTGCCCAGATTGATCGGAAAATAGGAAAATCAGTATGTCCATATGTAAGAATTAATCACATGAATTTCTCCACCATACCTAGATAGTAATGGCAAGAAGCTCACCTGCCCAGTATGTACCTGCACATGTAAAAACTGTCATTTATACATAGAAGTACAGACATCATCAGGCCATGCTCTCTTGCTAAGGTTTTTAAAATATCAAAGTCCAAAGTTCATGTCAGACTAGTTTTTTTCCTTCACAACAGAGATTGTGCATACCAAACTCATATGATTAAATTATTATTTTTGCCTCCGTTTGCCAATTTTGTTTCATCCCCAAGTAGATGCTCATTTGTGTAATGTGGTGATGTTACACAGCCAGTTAAGTTGTTGAGTGCTAAAGAAAACGAGTGGTGGCAAACATGATATGACATCCAACTTAACACACAGCTACAGTACCTCAGGGCCTGCTGGGCCTGGTGGTCCTCTGCGTCCAGGTTCACCTGGTGGGCCAGGATCAGCCTAAAAAGAAAGAGAAACGTATTTATCTGCTTCTGTGCAAGTGAATGAGACAGGAATTACAAGTCAGATCCTGTAGGCACGATAGGCAAATCTCTAGTTGCTTAGCAAGTCCATCTAGGTTTACTACATCTCTGATATCATCAGTAATGTTGCTGTTTGACAGAATACGAAGTTCTTTCTGTTCCTCATCTCAGTCAAGGAGAAGATGAGGATGACATGTTTGCCAAGCAAATTGCCAGTATTTCAAGGAAGTGCAATGTGGTAATGTTGAGGAACTTATCCAGATACCTTTTGGGAGACAAATTCTGCCAAAAGTGGCCCCTCCAAGAAATTTTTGACATGCATGACAGATAATTTTGTTCTAAAGAAAATGGAGGAAGTAACTAGAGGATCAGCTTTCCTTGCCTTAATACTGACTAATAGCAATGATTTAGTGGATAAGGTGGAAGTGATGGCAATTCTGGGGGAACATGAGCACATCATACTTGAGTTCTTGATTTTAAGGGAAGCAAATTGGAACATTGCCACACACGTACTCTGGATTTTGAGGAAGCCAATTTTAATAAACTCAGGACAATGATAAATAAGGTCCCATGACAAGTGAACCTAAAGAAAAAGGGAATCCAAGAAGAGTAGGAGTTTTGAAAAGGAAATTTAAAGGCTCAGTTACAAACAAGGAATGCTAAAAACAAAAAAGTATTTTTCAGGTGTGTTCACCACAAACAACATGCACACAAAAAATGATGGTTCAATAAGGATGACAAATTGGTAACAAACTATGAAGAAAAAGCTCAAGTGTTCAATTTCAAATTTGGTTCACTCATTCCCCAAAAGCAGGTCTATGAGGTCTCTGGGAGAAATGAAGTACAAACCGAGGGTCAGGACTGAAGCTTGACTGAAACAAGAACACCTATTTTTTTTATTCAAATCTGCCTGATGAACTGCATCTTAAAACAATAAAGGAACTGGCTAAAGAAATCTCAGAACCAATGTCCATTACCTTTGCAAAATCATGGAGGACAGGTAAAATGGAGGAGGACTAATGCTGTCCCCATTTTCAAAAAGGCCAAAAAGGAGGATTCTGGGAGCTACCGACAAAGTTAATCTGACATCAATTCCTTGGAAAATTCTGGAGCAGATAATAAGAGAAGCCAGTCCATAAATACCTTGAAGACATTGGAGTAATTATTAGAAATCAGCATGGATATATCAAGAACAAGTCTTGGCAGACCAATCTGATCTCTTTTCTTATCAGGTAACCTCCCTTGTTGATTGTGGGGATATTGTGGCCATAATAAATCTTGAGTTCAGCAAAGCTTTCAACATAGAGTGCCATAATGTTCTGATCAGACAACTAGCTAAAAGTGAGCTAGATGGAACCACTATCCACAGTTGGCTAAAGAATTGGACTCAGAGAATGCTTCTCAATGGCACCTTCTCACACTGGGAAGAGGAAATGAGTGGGGTACCACAGGGCTCAGTCTTCAACATTTTTATTAAGGATTTGAATGAAGAGGTGCAGGTAATACTGATCAGATTTGCAGATGACACAAAATTGGGCAGGAAGGCAGAAATGAAAGTGATATGGATAAGCTGGAGTGCTAGGCTGAAAGCAACAGAATGAAATGCAATGAAGACAAATGCCAAGTTCACACCTTAGGAAAAGGGAACCAAATGCACAGTTAAAAGATGGGAGATACTTGGTTCAACAATATCACCAACAAGAAGGATCCTAGCATTGTTATAGATCATAAGCTGAATATGAGTCAGCAATGCGATGTGCCTGCAAAAGAAGCTAATGCTATATAGAAGTATCACTTCCAAATCACATGAAGTACTAGCTACCCTTTATTCACTCATCTGGAGTACTATGTCCAGTTCTGGGCACCACAGTTTAAGAAAGATGCAGACAAGCTGGAAAGGGTTCAGTGGAGAGCAACAATGATCTGGGACTGGAGGCAAAGCCCTGTGAGGAGAGATCGAAAGAGCCGGGCATGTATAGCCTCAAGAAGACTGAGGGGGAATATGATAGCACTCTTCAACAACCTGAAAGGTTGTCACAAAGAGGAAAGACAGGATATCTTCTCAATCATCTCAGACTTTAGGATGTGCAATAATGGACTCAAGTTACAGGAAGCCAGATTCCAGCTAGTGATCAGGAAAAATTTATTGACCTTTAAATTAGTACAAAAATGGAACCAGTGACCCAGGGAGGTTGTGATTTCTCCCACACTAGAGGCATTCAAGATGCAACTGGACAGCCATCTGAGTGGGATGGGGTAACTTGGTATCCTGCAACAGCAGGGGGGTGAACCCAATGGCCTCCATGACCCCTTCCCACTCTACTATTCTATGAGTCCTAGAGTGAGCAGGGGGTAGGACTATGAGGCATCTTCCAACTCTAATATTGCATGATTTTATGACAACTGTGGTATTGACTGTTGTGATATGAACGTGAGGTCCAGACAGGAACATCTGAGATATGACAATGGCCTTCTTAATCACAAGCACATGAAGCCGGGCCATAGCACTAGCACAGCCATCACTGCCATGAAGCTAAGGAGCCATTATGTCTGGCAATCCAACACAACGTGTTGCCTGCTTGGCAGCCATCTTGATAATAGCCATAGCTCATGTCTTTGGGAAATACTGCTGAGATGGACTGCAGGCATGACCCAGTGTAGAGTGTTGACTGGGAAGAAGATACAAAAAAAAAAAAAAAAAATCCAGAGTTTAGTCCCAGATTCTCTAACAAAGTGCAGGTGGCGTAGATGGAGTTTAGCGGAACAGTCTTGGTAGGTGCCACAATATGGGTAGGAGTAGACCGGGACTCTTTGGAAGTGTAGGTGGGCACACACCTACCACCATGCATTTAGTGGACATTCTAGGTGCTATAGATAATCTGAAAGACAAAACACAAAATTGGAAGGTCTCTCTTTCAACTGGAAGTGGAGGAAGTGCCTGTTGAAATATTCTATTGATACATTGAAGTAGGCATTTTCAGGCAATCTCCTTCTTGCAGAGGGGTTGTATAGTTTGCAAGGTGACCATCTGAAACTTCTTCGGTAGAATGAAGGAGCTGAGGTCTCTTCAGTCCAGGATTAGTCACAGTCCTCCATCCCACTTTGGTCCCATGAAGTAGCTGAAGAAGAATTCAGGATGAGCATGGGAGGAGGTGGCCTGCTTTATGTCTTTCTTTGACAGCAGTGATTTTCTCTCTTCAAGCAAGGCTGGAGATGGACCTCTACTCCTTATGATACTGAGGAACGGGAGGGCATTGAATTTCATATTGTAACCTCTCTACAACAGACAGAATCCAGGTACCTGAAGTTATTGCTTCCCAAGTGGGAACAGAGAGAGACAAACATTAATAAAAATAAAGGGGAGAAGAATAAGGATCAGCCCAGGGAACTAGTCAGTGCTGCCCCAGATCCTGCTTATAGCACTTCTGCCTATGTTGGTACCTATGAGTGCCATCCTTTTGCCTCAGCTGGGATGGAAAGCCAGGATGAGATGGTCCATCTGCTGAGGCTAAGGGTGTGCTCGGTCTAAACCACTTACATGTTCTTGATGGGGGAGGTTGGTACAGCCTCATCTTCCTTGCCATAGTCTGTAACTTATTGAGTCCATACACTTTTTTGTGTATTGAAGAGCCCATCCTTTCAAATGGGAGTAGGCCTCCTGTGAGAGACCAGACAAACATAGTCTTTGCATCACAGTCTACTTGGTGCCAGGTGGTATTAATCTGCATATGGAAGAAGCACATCACTGCAGACTGGGAGTGCCCCCTGTTGCTTTGGCAGGTGGTCCACAGAGCTCCAGTCTTCTCTCATAGCAAAAGTTGGTGCTTTATCAGCTTTTGGTGCCATGTTGAATCCCAGTGCTGAGGAGGAGTAGATGGACCTCCTCATAACACCGTTAAAAAACAACAACCATTCTTGTAAAACATTCAGCGAGCTTTGGCTATGAAACTGCAAAGAAATGAAATAAATCATGATAATACGATTAGCATACAGGCAGCATCCCTCCTTGTCAATCAGGGTGGGGTGCTCCTGATGCAACAACTGAGTTCAGTTTCAGATGTTGAAAAAGGAAGTTCACATCCTTCTCCTTTTCCTGCACCCTATACATGCTCTTCAGCCTTTTCCATACCAGTTCCATCATAGATAGGGCTTTCCATGTTTGCTGGATATTTTGCAGGATCCTGAGGGTCTGTCTAAGTTTCAGGGAGTAACCTCATTGAACTGTCTCCAGGATCCAATGACCTGAGAAGAGCTGCTTCCAGACCACTTGAATGGCTATCGACCAGACCCACAACCGGAAGGCATCAAGAGTAGCATCTGCCAAGAACACTGCTGCAAAGGCTGTTTGTCTGGTGAAGCCAGGGGCTTCTTTGCTGTGAGAGAAGGTGTCGACCTTCATGAAGCTTGCCTGAGCCACTATGGTGGCTGCTGTAGCCATCCTCATTGCAGAGACTCTGGCCTTGAAGGATTTGCAAAAGACTGTATCTGCTCATCTGCCATGCTGCTCAAAGGAAGCTCATCCTGCTCAGAAGTCTGGAGGGTTCTAGACATGAGGGCTGCTCACAGGTCCCTACAGTCGACCGTAGGGACTGCCAGCTCCTTCATTACTTCTTTCTGCAGGTGATGGGATTTTATGAAGTGGTGACTGGCTGGCTGTCTCAACTCCTTGTGCAGAGTTTCCATCAGGGTAAAGCCAGGGAAGTGGAGGATGAGAAGGAGGTGTTGCTGAGAAGACCACTGCTGCTCCTGTTCACTTTGTACTGCCTTGCAAGGTCGAGGGGAGGTCCTCCTGGTCCTGAAGTTCCAGAATGTTCAGACAGCTGGCAATCAGGTTCTTGAAGGCCTCTAGAGAGAAAAGGTGCCTTTGGGCTGCCCCCACTTTTGAGTTCCTCCCCTTCAGATAGTTCTCCTTCCTTGGATCTGAGGGGGAGGCATTTCCAGGGTCCTATCAGACCAGGCATCAAAGTAATAGGAAGGGAATGGTGAGATTTTCCCCTTCTTTCTCTTCTTCCCTCTCCTAGGCCCCTTTGAACCACATTTCTGAGGGAAGTCTGAACTGGACCTTCCTCTGAGGGATCAGTGAGAGAACCCCCTCCCCCCCCCTTTTCCATCTATGTCTGCTTCCCTTCCCTGGTGGCCAGGTATCCTGGCAGGAGGGGAGCACCCTGAGGAAGATTGAAAGCAATTCCATCTTCCTCTGCTGGAGGATGAGGAGGAATTAGGGTGCCTGTCCCTGGCACTCCCTCTCCCTGGAGCAGTTTCTGCCAGAGCATGCAGGGAGGGATTCTCCCCCAGGGAAGCTTGCAGATGCCCTCCTTACCTGGTCAATGGATTATCTAGAGGTCTCAAGTAAGGCTCCTCTTTTTGATTCTGAAGCCCTATAGTAGTTTGGAAACAGTAAGGGGATAGGACCTCTGGGTGGCACCTACTAAAGACCTGAAATTGAAACCACGCCAGGTGTTAGTTGTAATGAGGGGTGGTGGGGCTTTGCCTCAAGGGAGAAGCAATTTAGGGGCCTTGGATAGGGTCTCCTGAGTGAATCCCTTGCTTCTGGCCTAGCCCTGTTGTCATATGAGTTCACCTGGTTTTGTAGGCCAGGAGTCGTCTTCCTGGAGTGCTGACCAAGGATGCCCTGCTCATTGTGGCCTGTGACAATCAATGCCTGGTCTGCAAGGCAATGGTGCCTCCCAAGCGCTAGGCCACCTGTGTGACAGTGGGCAAAGCACCTGGACAGGACCTCAACATGGGGCATGTGGTCTCATTTTCTCCCTGGGATAATGCTCAGAGGCCTCCAGAGTGCATATCCATGTTCTGCTGGGGAGGCAACATATGGGTTTGTGTTTCTCACGCCTGTGAGTGGCAGTTGCAGCTGCTCATGTGGTGGATCTTCTTTGGCCCAGCTGCCAAAGACTTTCCTGTTGTCACCATAACTTTGCTCTGGCTCCTTGTTGGGATGGGGCCTTCACCAGGTGATGCCATGCTCTTGACTTTACTTCTATCTTCTCTCTCTCATCCTCTCTCCCTGCTCTTTTTTCTTTTCTTGTTGCTTTCATAGTCTTGCATTGATGACTCTGTAGTGGTCAGTACCAGTTCATGCTCTTTTGGGTGCCATTTCTTCATTGCCAAAGAGTCTGCTAACTTCTGCTAATTGGTCCTCTTGTCCAAGTGCTTCAACTTTTTAAGTGTCAGGGTTTGCCCTGTGGTTGACTATGGCAACCAGCCCATGGTTAGGACATTCATCTCTGGAGGCATGGCTTGAGGCAAGAAAGGATCCTCAGGAATTGAAGGGTGGGCTAGCTCTGGCAATTTGGTGGTCTATTCCACTTGCATTGCACTGAAGGTGGTTAGACGCGATGTTTTCTAGCTTGCTTCATAAAGGCTTGGCAGTGTGGGCATTGGTTGACCACATGTCCAGGGAGAACAAGCAGAGGAAGCACATTTGCGGAGGGAAACCTTCGATGTCATTGGTCAATGACAGAGATTGAAGTAAAAAGAAAAGAGGCAAGAGGGTATTGGAAACCGTAAGGGAAAATGACATTTCCTTTTTATGAAAGAATGGAAGTACAAGAAAGGGTAATGGTTGAGTAAATTGTTGGAAGGAGAAGGTCAAAATGGGTTGAGGCAAAAAGCAAAGAAAGAAGCACAAAGGAGGAGGGAAAAAACACTCCCCCCCCACCAAAAAAAACCTCACTGAAAGGAAGTTGAAGAAGATCTTGGGGAACAGTCAGAAACTCCTCCCATATACTACAAGCACCAGAATGGGGAAGGGGTTCAGAGTCCATATGTGTGATGCACAGAGACCATGAAGAAAAGAAGTATGGTCAGAAGGGTCTTACTTGTGATATGAAAATGGAAACAAAAACACTAAAAGATCCACTTAGAGGGACCTTTGGCCAAGTTTGTGGAAAATAAATCTAACAAATATATAAATAGAACATTGAGAACCCTGAGGCAGTTCTAAATACCATGTTTGCTGTGGAAAACACCAACATTACACTAAAGTTGTTCTCAGCAAACATATGAAATATGGGTATCATACACATGGACACTCATCTTAAGAACAATAGTGAACAGATCTAGGAAACTGGGCTACCACATGTTATCCGGTGCTTAGAGATGTGGATACACATTTCTGGGATGCCTACACATTATCTGTTCATCCAGTCCTGCTATTTCCAACAGTAATTATAATATTTTGAGCTATCCTAAGATTAGATAGGATAATATATCTGGCCTAAAGTAAATTGAATAACCTGTGGAAGGTAGGGGTTCTCCCACTGTCTCCCTGAAACATCAGCCAAAAAACATGAAGAATGGAAGTGAAATAGATTGGGAAATAGCTTTATTGTCTTCTGGGCTCACAAAATGAGCTTTTTATATAATAGGATGGCATATAAAAGCTTTTAATAAATAAATAAAAATAGATCCAGCAAGTTTAGATTGTGAATTATTTTTTTTATTAATTTTTAAGTTAGTTAAATAAGAAAAAAAGAGAAAGAAAAAGGATTGTGGAATAGTACAAAGAGTTTACTTACAGGTTCACCTTTTACTCCTTTCGATCCCGGAGGGCCTTTTGGTCCAAAGTCACCTCGTGTACCCTATTTTCAAAAAGGGTTGAAGGAGTAAGGAATTTTTTTTTCATTTTTCATTACAGCATGGCTATTTCTTTCTACCACCCTATGTCTCTGCATTATTTCCTTAAGGTTTTAATTGGATAAAACTATACTAGTGATGCTGCGGGTGAAAACTAAGCTGAAACCATGTTGCAAACCACCCAGAGAGCTTTGACTATGAGGTGGTATAGAAATAAATTAATATTTAATTTATATAAACTATATTTATATAATATGAATATTATGTTATAAATAAAATAGATTAAATATATACATAAAATATTCTAATTGTAACAGTGTGGAAAGTAAAAGGGACAGTACTTAAGCAAACTAGAAAGTGAAAAGTCATTGTGCAGACAGAATAGTCTATGTTAATACTGGATTAGCACACATCATAGCAGCACAAGGAATCCTCGCATTAAGCTACGTGCATGATTTAATCAGCATATGATAACTGAACAACGTGCCATGGCTTTAAAGTTGTTCACATGAGAGCAACAGTGTGAATATCTAAGAAATTCTCTTCCTAACAGAGGTTTATCAACAGAACATTAAAATTCAGGACATAACTGGTTATGAGATTTGTTAGCAAAAGCAGACCCATTGATGATCATACTCTACCTCTGGTCCTTGGACCCCCTTCTCCCCTTTCTCACCCTGAAAATAGAGAGAAGCTCATCAGTCTTTATTATGCTCCTGTCAAGAGTTTGCCCACACACAACATGGAAGAGGATGTTCTAAGGCAAGGAGGGTGTGTGGTTAACAAGGTATCCAGAAAAGCTCAGCACAGGTAATTTCCATAGGATCGAGAGACCAGGTGATATTGGTGATCATTGCTTCCTTGGCTTCTAGACTGGGCCAGAATGGATGTCTTGTTCACATCCATATAGCCCTTTGCTTGTAATAACATGCAAGGTGGAATTAAGGCATTTCCTCACTGAGAGTAAGGCATATTCTCTCAGGGACTCTCCAAGACTGAGGTTTTCATAAGTTATAATTGTAACCATCTTTTACAGTGATGTGGCTTTCAATATTCCATATATTAGCAAAATTAACAAGTACTCATTCATTTTTAATACAGCTATTAGCATATTCTTCCATATCAGGCACCTTAGCTTACCCAGTCCTCAAAGCTTAAGAACACATAAAAGTAGCAAAATCACCAGCATTATTATATTATTGTAAGCCATCCAGAGACGACAGTGATGGACGGCCTATAAATGTCCTAAATAAATAAATAAGATCAAAATTTGAAATCCTTTGAAAAAGTCTTTAATAAGGTCAACCAAATAGATTGAAAAACAACATGAAAGTCCCAGCACACTGCTGCTGTAGCTCCAGCCCTAAGCAACATGTTAGCGAAACAAAGAGATCTATGTTGAAAGATGCTCCAAGGAAAGAGTACACACAGCAATCTGTGATGCTACCACCAAAGACTTCTCCATGCACCCCAGATGCGTGAGCGTTGCACCAAGATGATATTGCTACAACCGAGTTTTAGTTGGGCCAGATAAGATGTGCAGAGTGTTGAGGAAGAGGTGTGCCCCCGAGGAAGAGGGCACGCCTCTTCCCCAACACCTCCACTGCTGCTCGCTTGCTTACTCAGTCTCCACTTCAGTGCTTGGGATTGCATACAAAATGTCTATTTGGCACTCGAGACCACACCCCTGTCCATGGTTTACACAGAAAACATTCATGGCTCCGCTTGCCAGTTCACCATCCTGCTTCATTTGCTATGGAGCCTTTACATGTGAGGCTTCTTAGCATAAATACGTTACATGAACAAAACATACCAGCAGTCCTCTGGGACCAGGGTAGTTAAAGCCAGGTCTTCCTCGATCACCCTATGATTATGAAAAGAAAAAAGAAATGAAAAAAAGAAAAGAAAATCAAAGCAGGATTACCGAAAGAAAGAGCAGCTTTCAAGAAGCTCGTTTTGTACCCTTCTATAGTCCTGCAAAGCACAGCTGTATGCTATACCTTTTAGGGTTAATAAACACTCACGAGCCAGTGGTACACTGAACAGTTACAGGATTCCTAATTTCACTGACAGGAAAGGGGAGATGATGGAGCTCATTTACAAGTCTGTTGCTTCTGCAGCAAATGCTCATAAGCCTCTGAACTCCATTGCCACTGTATCCGGTGCCCTACATTTGATCTAGACAGCAGGTTCGATTGCGTAGATTTAGCACCGGGGCAGAAGAGGGAAGAAAACTGGGTGATTACTGCAAACCCCGTAATGTTGTAGCCCCAGCACCTTTCTTTCCTTTCCCCTCTCTGAGGACCACTAGCCATGGACAGTGGAGAAACTGCACTGACTATGAAGGTGGGAGGAGCTCTGTCTTCAGAATATGAAGGCTGAATCTTCAGGCTTGGTCTCAGGAAAGTCCTATGGTTTTTCCAGATGTGATTGGGAAAGCCACAGAATTGTGTCCTAAGTGATTAACTGTACCTTTTTACAAATACTAAGAATCTTAAAAATAAGACTGTGTTGGCCCTGCTGGATCAGGACAACATCAGGGTGTAAAATACAACAGTAACCCTGTCTTAACTTTATTCTTTTCCTTACCTTGGTTATATGACTTACCTTTGGTCCTGAAGGTCCTGGGTCACCCCTTACACCTGTATCACCAGGATCTCCCCGTGAGCCCTGTAGGAGTGTTACAGAAAACAACAACAAAAAGGAGTTGAGGATACATGGTTCTGCACAAACATTAGGACTAGCACTGTCATGGTGCTTTCATATGGTTTCTGTATTACATTTTTCCCCATAAAGACTCATGAAAAGGAAGAAGTACTGTCTCATTGCACCCCCCCCCCCACAGCTTTCATTTACAGCCCATTTATGGTGCCCAACATCTTCACATACAATTGGACACGTTCATACAGCTGAATTGGTCTCTGTAGCAAAGGGAAAGAACCCGAAGTTAAACATTGACTGACAGTGAATTATTTGGGGTGATGAAAGTTATCGTCTCCTGCCACCCGCCTGGGAAAGCAGCAACACAGAGAGCAAGTTGATGTCCATATGCTGAAGATGAGCTTGGATAAACTTACAGTTTTTCCTGGTTCTCCCACACCACCTTGGGAACCCCTTGGGCCAGGCAATCCTCGCTCTCCCTGTGAAACACATACAAGGGGGAGAAATCAGTTATTTTTCTCATCAGAAATCTAAGACTTATCAAGATCCCATGCGTAAATGCTACCAGGTCATTACAGGTGTAAAATAAAGCATATTACTCCAATTAATTTAGCACTATGTTGGGGAAATAGTGTGAAATGACCTATCTCTTAACATTAGAATTGGTTACTTTGTTCTTACACTATCAACTTCGTGAAAGATGGAGCTGAATTCACGGGTTAATGTGTATTGAGTGTGCAGTCACCTTTTTCCTCAGATGCATGTGGACATGGCAGATGATGCTAAACCCAGACAAGGGAGAATGAATAATTTTTTTTGGACCATTATTGATTAATATGGAGGGAAAGAAGCACCTGTCACTGATGGGATTCAATATCTCATTATCTATTAGTTTTGCAGTCTTGAACTGCTCTTGAGTCCATTGCTGTGCCTATAGAATCCTAGGCTTTAGCAGTGACCAGATCTGGCTCCTGTCAACAATAGTGTATCACCATGGAGCAACCAGTTTGATTTTTTTTGCCTTTGTAACTTTTAAGCTATGCTTCCATAGAACACTCTATATGACTATCAAAGACTCTCTGCTAGCCTCCAGATTTTCCGACTCTATGATCACGAATCACTGCTTCTTTGCTACTGCTGGAAAGACAGCCTCGCATATCCATGGACCTGGCTCCAGAGAAGCCTTTGGTACAAGGTTGCTACAACCTTTCGAAAGAAGCTCCAAAGTGGTACAGAAGCATCTGCAGAGGATAACACAACACAGAGGAAAATCTACAGATCTTCCCTGTTCTGTTTCAGTTATCTAGATTGCTAAGAGTTGGCAGCAGGGGTTGGGCTTCTTCCTATCTCTGTCTTACCCTCATGCTTGACTTCTGTGTTCAGGAAAAAATTGAGCTCCAGTTTGCAAGCTCTGAACTGTGGAGATGGTTTAATAGTTTCACATAATTTAACATTCACTAACAACAAAGTCATGGGCAAGTAACAATCTTGCCATCTGCTTTAAATGGAATTCAAAGCTTTTAGCAGGGCAGAGCGAACCCTCTGCTGCAAGTTTCAGACTGGGAAGGTCAGCTGATCAAAACCAGGAGGACTGTGCTGTAGCCCTTCTGACCTATCTGCCACAGCTGCCTTCGGGCTTGCAAAGAACCTGCAGTTCTGTACTTGGTTTTCAGCACTTATTTAGGGCTGCACACTGTACCAGGTGTGGCCACCAGGTTGCCTCACTAGGAATTAGGGGAAAGTCCACCAGTTTATTTCATGTCTATACTGCCCAATAGGCAAGACTCTCTGGGTGGTTGGTTTGACACACCTGCAATTTAGACTTGGAAATGAGACAGTGGCAGGATTGTTTGAGAGTGATGTTATAGGATAGATTCCCTAGGCAGCTCTTGCAGGAGAAGAGAATGTAGCATCTACAGAGGTCAAACCAAGAGCATTTGCTGTGTTTCCATCATTCTTTCCTACCTGTCCTCCTTTGTTTCCAACTTCTCCTGGTAGTCCTCTTTGTCCTTCAGAGCCAGGATCTCCCTATGAATAAAGAAATTGTTATTAGATATTAACTGCCTTCCATCGAATATTAGGAAGTTCCTTCTTTCTTGTGCAGTAGCAAGGTATGTGAGAGAAAGGGGAATACTAGCTATAGTGGAATCTGTCCCTCTAGAATTCATGGACTTTCTCTCGTGCTTGGCCTGTTCTTGGAAAGCAAGCTCAAAGGAAGTCCAGAAACGCTCATGGATCTTAAGCTTGTACAACAGGCCACCTCCTTCTGTGTCAGGTGCATTCTTGGCAAGCCCCATGCAACCAACCTTCTTCTGCCTGAGACAGAAGAGGGATGCAGCTAGAGGTTGCATGGGGCTCAATTTCTGGTGAATCCCCCATGAAACACTGGATGCATTCACCAGGAATTTGGACTCAGAGGCATTCCAAAACAGATCAGAGAGTGGGGAGCCAAACCCAGTGAATCCAATGTATTCGCCCCCCTACCTAATCCTTCCCGATTCCTCACACATCCCTAAAGATATGTTTTGACTATTTTAGCTGATTTGATCTGTTTTAGATGATTACATATTAACAAAAGGTTAAACAATTCCATATGCTTCTTTAGGAGCTTTTCTGAGAACTGGAATAAAAGACAAATAACGAGGATTAAATAAAGAGTAGTAAAGAGGGGTTTTAATTGTCTAGATATACAATTAGACAATTGTATATCTAGGCAATTCCATGAGTGCTGGATCAACCCCAGGGTCTATTTTATCCAGCATTCTGTTCTCACAGAGCCCACCAGCTGCCCATAGGAATCCCTCAGCAGCACCTTTCCACCTGCATTCCTTAGCGCCTGGTATACATAGGCACACTTACTCTTGATACTGGAGGTAGCATAGTTCTCAGGATGAGAACGTATGACATGGCATAGCCACATCCATAAATTTGTCCAAACAGGTGGCCATTGCTCTATCTTGCACCAGTGAACTGCATTTAACAGTGCTCTTTGTGAAACTCTTCTGTAAATCTGTCCTGAATCTCCTGCTGTTCACCTTCATTTGATGACCCTTTTCTTTTCTTTTCTTTTCTTTTCTTTTCTTTTCTTTTCTTTTCTTTTCTTTTCTTTTCTTAACTTCTTTTATAACTTCTTTTATATCATTTATATATATATATATATATATATAATTTATTTTATATTATTAATTTTAATTTTATATTGTTATTTTTGTATTGTATTGTATTTTATTGTGTTGTAAGCTGCCCCGAGGCTTTGGCAAGGGGCGGCATAGAAATGTTCTAGTAATAATAATAATAATAATAATAATAATAATAATAATAAATGTTCTAGTATTATATCCACTTTCTTCACATCATGCATATATATACCTCTATCATGTCTCCCCTTACTCACCTTCTAAGCTAAACAATTTCAGCATTTGGACTCTGTCATTTCCTGCAGTTTGCACTGCACTAGTAGCCTGTCTACTCCAGGTTCAGTATTCTTTGCAAAGGAATAGGATTCCACTTGGAAGAAGCTTGTCATCAGTATAGTTCTTCTGTGTGTTCTTTCCAGATTCTCTTTGTATTCTCCTGGTCAGATGGTATGTTCCTTTCTTTGTCTGTTAGCATTCCTTCTCCAGGTTTGAATTTCTCTTGTTTTTCCTGTTTTGTTGCTCTCTTCTATTTCTTTGCACCAATCATTGTAATAGTATATTTTGTCTCCAAGTGATAGTTGCCAAAAAATTCATTCAAGAATTTTTATTTCTGTCACCTTTTCCTTCTCACCTGTTTCTTCTGTCATCCACCTAGGCTTTCCTTTTTTTGTTGCTATAGGAATTGTCTTTTGCAATTCTTCTCTAATAAAGTCTCTGGCTTCAGTCCACAGTTCTTTTGGCTCCCAGTCAATTAAGTTGAACAATACATATGTAAACTTTATGTAGACTTTAAAGTCTCCAGGGATGTTACTTAAGTTATATTTAGGTTTTTATTTTTTTTAGCTTGACTCTGATTTTTGAAATTAATAATTGATGATCACTAGCTCAGTCTGCTCTTGGTCTTCTTTTGGCAGCTAGAATACAGCATCTCCACCTTCTGATTCCAATGACATAGTATATTTGATTTCTGTATAGTAGTGGCTCTGAAATACTAATTACAACTATAATTCCCCCAATTTCCTTACTTTTTCTTAAATTTGTTTCAAAGACAGTTTTTAGTGGCACATTTGCCAATGATTATACGAAAGCAATAACTAAGATAACAGGGAAAGTACCTGGTCTGGATGAATTGCTAGTTGAATACTATAAAATATTGTTGAATTTTCTAGTTCCCAAACTTTATTGCTTATATGACCACAGTTTTTAATCTGGCCCTGTTTCATCAATTGTGTTTACATTACAGAAATTCCTAACCTGGATAGAGAGCATACCCTCTGTGCTGATTATCATCCTATTTTATTGAATAATGTTGATATTAAGATACTAACTGCAATTTTGGCTGACAGACCAACATTACAACAAGTGATCACAACATTAGTCCAACTGGAACAGGTTGGATTCATTAAAAATAGGCAAGGGGATGATAAACTTAGATTGATGGTTATCTGATTGTATTAAATAAGGCCAGACCAGACACAGCTGCCATTATCTCTCCAGATGTGCAGAAGGCTTTTGATAAAATTGATCAGAAATTTAGCTTTGCCACATTGAGAAAGGTTGATTTTCCTCCAGAATTTCAGAAATGAGTTAAATTTTTATATGAAATTCCTTGGGCCAATAGAATTTTGTCAGGGATTTTTCCTTGTGAGAGGTACTAGACAGGGATGTTCTTTTTACCCCTTGATATTAAATTTATATTTGTAACCACTGGCTGAATGTAAACTTATTCTTTGATTATCCTCTATTGTTTATTTCCAAACTCCAGTTTTCAGTCTTCTAGCCTTGATGCAGATGATTAATGCTTTTGAACACTTATCTTGTTATTCTATTAATTGGTTAAAGTCAGAACTCATGTTTATAGGAGGTAATATGGACCCCATAGAGTTATCTAAATGCACTTTAGACTCTGTGCTGAATTAATTGCTTATCTGGGAGTCCTTGTCCGAAGAGACATATTACAAATGATTAAGTTAAATCTGATTAAATTGATTAATGGGTCTCAAGGGTCATCAATAGATTGGCATCTATAAACTTAAGTTTATTGGGTAGTATAAATACACTAAAAATGTATTTGGCATGTAGAGGCAATGTGCATCCATTCACTTCTTCATTTTTAAACATTTTTTATAACTGAAATCTAACTGTAGAGAAATATGTTTCTCCAGCCCAGTATATAAAAAGTTGGGAGAAATCTTCAATTGTTTAAAAAGCTCATGAACTTACTTTTTCCCCCTTGGATCCAGGAGTACCAGCGCCCCCCTGTGTTCCAGGATCACCACGACGACCCTTAGTAATACAAACAAACAAAGGAAGAAACCTGACATTAGTTCATTGATCAGAGAACTAAACATGTACCTTTCACTTAGATGTGGCTGCCAGATTGATTCAACAAAGTGGAAGACATGCAGCAGGCAGAGATGATATATGTAACTGAATCAACTACTTGGCTATAAAACTTACTGAATCCACATATTCTCATACAAACAAACCTGGCATATAAAAGCGTGTTGTTCCTACATGTGGAACCAATTGCATAAAAATGGTTTCATAATTTTTTGTTCTGTTAACTTCTGCAAAATGACTGGGAAAGGAAGGACAGAAGAATGATGGCTATCCTGACTAAGAATTTTTCGAGAGTACACAAGAACACAGCTTATATTTTCATAAAACATGTAAGGAATTCCTTCTCATCTAGAAAGGAGCACCAGCCATCATGAGAAAGAAAAAGAAACCTGTTATGAAAATTAGTCCCTACTTCTGACTATGGCCAGACTGAGCACACTCATTTCTGCACAACAGAGCTTTTTTGTGTACCTGAGATTCCTTAAACATGGTTGTTAACAGGCTTTTTCACTACATTGTGATCCTCTAGTTTATGTCTATTATTTCACAGCACTATTAAAAGGTTTTTATTACCCATTAAATTAGCAGGATTGGCTCTCTTTTTAATTTTTTTCCTAAAAATTTTACCTTGGAGAAAACTGGATATTAAAATAGGGAAGTGCTGTTTCTATTTTTGCATTTGTGTATAGCACAGCTCCATCTAAAGGCCTCATAACAGAAAAGCAGGAAACAAAAATGGTCTTCATTAAGATCTTGGATTTTCAGTGTAGCAATTAAACAAGAAGCAGATGTAGCTGTTAACAGCTGCATGGAGAAAAACCCAGAAGGGAGCCTTATGGCTAATGGGACAGGATAAAAATCTAATAAAGATAATGTTCGCAGCAGATCTTTCTTTCCCAAGGATACAAACCAGTCCTTGAGACTGGTAAGACTCCGAACTCAGAGGCTTATATTCATCCATGCCGACTGCAAGGGTGGGGGCTCTGCATTCAGAGCCCCAGCACCCAGGTCGTAGCACTCAGGGCTGGGATTTCGAATAACTGACCCCGCACCCGAGATGCTGCCCCAAGTTAGTGGCTTTCAACCTTTCTGCAGCTGAGGACCAACAAACAGGAAAACTACCTCAGGGACTGCTGAGGCAGAAACAAAAGCACCATAATACAGTATTCTGTGTATTACCCTTTAAGCACAATAGCCCCCCTCCCCCCAAAAGAAGGAAAGGAAAGGAAAGATCTCCAAAACAACCAGAAACTAAGCAACAAAAATGTCAACAAAAGAACAAAATTCCAAAATCGGTGCCCCCCTGGAGGCACTGGCACACCCCCTGCGAATGCGATGCAAAATGAGGAAGAAGTGGTGGAGCACGGCCAGCTCCCCTGCTCTCCCCCCCACCCCCTTAGACTTGCGCCAGTCCACGGACCAGTGCTTGAAAACCACTGCCCTAAGTAACTATTACGCCTGAGGATCAGGATCACAACAGTGCTACATCACATGATGCCCTTCTTCAAAAATTTTACAGGGCATTTAAATATTTAAAGTAACATTTCACTCAGGATTTAGATGTTCTCTATACAGCTGCAATCTGCAGTCCCACAATTTTTCTTGCTTTTTCACACTTTCATCCAGGTCTTCCTAGAAATTCAGAGAAGTGTCTTATCCTCACAAGGATCTTCTTATACACAAAGAAAAGTCTGACGGGGGACTACCCAAAGCTACCTGGTGTGCTTCATAACTGAGTGCAGGTTTGAGCCACGCAGCCATACATCTGTGCTGTGCCACACTGAGCCAGTATACTATAGTGGGCTTGCGGCCATCTTATTGATGGTTGTGACAATTAATGTTCTACTGGCTCCCCCCTTCCATAGCTGACAATGGGGATGCATTAATTCATTTGAGAACTGAGGTGTACAGTTTTGTATATGAGGAGACCATCCTTCCACAGGGCATAAAATAGTAAACAGGGTGTTCAGCATGGCAAGTAATTGGGGCACTGTATTCACTTCTCTCCTCTTTCTGCCAGATAATGAAAACATTAGGCTCACATTGAAGAAATCCAGTTGAAATATTGCTTGGTCAGCAAGAAATGCCATATGCAGCACTGTCATGCAAGCATCCACAAGGCAAGATTCATGATCAAAACCTACACATGTGTTGACAGGCAACATGATCAAGGTTTCAGCAAAGAATATGCTATGCACTTTTAGGCCCAATATTTAAATGTAAATTAATTTTTTTATTGCCTCATTGCAATCAGTGAGATTTAAGAGAACTCTGGCTGGATCAGATTCCAACTACTGTAGGAATATTATCTTCTTCCCTAGTGTACTGACCAGAACCCAATCAGTTGCAGAGGAAATGCTGTTTCTCAATGATAATTTCACCCATGGTTTAACTATCAGTCTACACATTTCACAGAGTTTCATAATTCTTTCCTCCAAGTTTTGTTCTGCTTTTTAACCAAGGTACTGAGGGTAGTCTGTTCTAAACTAAAGGAGGCCATGTGGAGAGAGGCTACTCAATCCTTTTCTATCAGGTCCTCTTGCAGTTCAAACTGTTTTTTCAACAGTGAAAAGGAAGCTATTGAGTTCCCAGTGGCTTTCCTATGTGGGTGAAAAAGCATCTTAGGAGTGGTGGTTTTGAACTGGGAAAAGACCAGAACAAAGGATTAGATAGTCCTTTCCCATCTGCTTAGATTCAGATGAGATGAGCCCTCTGCTTTTGATTTGGAATTAGGCTTGGTGAAATAAAGGGTTTCATAAACTAATCCAGAAATAGTTCACTTTTCTGAGATCAGGTCAGAAATCCTTCCTCATTCCTGATGACTTAAGAGTACAATAGATTGTCCAAACCCTCCCCTCGAGCTCTCGAACACCATCTCTCATTTGCAAGAACATTACAGTGACCGTAAACAATGAAATAGCATTTTCTGGCAATGCAAGAAGCATGAATTATAGAGGCTGGAGAATTCCTTGAGACCCCTTTCAATTCAGATATGAAATACAGTGGTATCTCAGCTCACGAATGCCTCGGTTCACGACAAAATCAGGTCACAAAAAGAAATTTCCTCAGGTCGCAAACTCCTCATCGGGTGACAGTCGTGATTGTGCCTGTCTTCCCTGCAGTTGTGCTCGGGGGGTGGGGGAGGAGGGAGGGCCTCTATCTTTGCTGTTCTTTGTCACTTTGTTTCAAATTTTTGTGATTTAAAAAATGGTTACAGAACGTATTAACCTTATTAATATTGAACCTTATGGGGAAAATTTGACTTGGGTCACAAGCAATTTGGGTCGCGACCAGAGTCGTGGAAGGGATTAAGTTCGTGAGCCAAGGTACCACTGTTAATAGACATGCATGGCATAACTCATAGCTTCATTGTGCTACACAAGCCCCTTCGCCACAGCAAGGGAGTGATCCATGAAGGGGTTAACTTTTATATAAATTGATATTTCTGTTTATCCCTTGCCTATGGCTTGCAATGCCACTACAGACTGTGTACTAAATGGATGAAGATTTATGAATGGTGGCAGGAAAAGGGATGAAAAATGAATGTACATTGTTTAGGTAGTGATATTTGGATAGGGATTCTATCCAAACTGTGGGCACAGGATTCTATCCATATGGGCACAGTTTGGTGGGCACTGCAGTGAGGTTTCCCCCATGCTATTATGCAGAAGTGAGTTCACTAATTTCATTGGAACTATATCTAGATAATGTACTTAGGGAAAAAGTGCTAATAAGTTATTTTTGCCAAGCCCTGTACTGAAGTAATGCTATTGGGATGATTAGATGAAACCTGCAGGGTACAGAAACCATCTTACAGGCTCTCCTTTGGGTCCAGGAGATCCAGGGCTTCCTTTGCCTCCCTTGATTCCAGGAGTGCCAAGAGTTCCATTAACACCTTTTGGTCCCTTTGAAAAACAAAATGAAGAATACATTAGAGTAAAATAGAGGTTTTAAGAATAATGCAAGATAGTGCCAAGGAATTGCCTGTATTGGGGCTCAGCAGGAGCCAAGAAACCATATCCTTTAGGTCTTGCCATTGTGCAGAGTTCTTCCCTGTCTCTGGCCTCAACCAGCAACCACTAATCCCCAGTGCAGAGAACTAGTTCTTATGGACCCCATCTTACTCCTGGCCTGTAGCAGCCCCACAACTGTTCAGGTGAGGCAGATAACTGCTCATGGAGATCTTGCACTTTTGCTAACACATCAGTCACATCTCTCTCCCCCCCCGCCCCGCCCCACACACACATAAAGCTACTTCATGACTTAAGTTACAAATCGCACAGATAAAGTGCCCCAGACAGGTAAAATGCAAACAAAACCAATCCCCCCTTCCCACTGATGCCTCCCGCAGACGTGTTCCAAAGGGCTGGGAGAACCTCCAGAGCAGATCCGCTCTGTAGCGCATAAGGAGCTACAGAGAAGAGGCAGGGAAGAAGTCTGCTCGTTCAATACTGGCTGCAGCTGTAGGTGTGGCCCAGCCCTCACTAGGGGGCTCATCACATTCATGGCATGCCTGAAAGTATCGGGGTGCCTACCCTGGCTCCGTTATCTCCAGGCAGCCCAGGTTGTCCACTGCGGCCAGGTCGGCCAGGATCACCCTGAAATAGAAGTTAGCAAGCAATGGTTATTACTCACATCAGATCATAGATGTAATACAAGTTGCTTTTTAGACTGAGAAACGTAGACTGCACCGAAAGTGAAGTATCGTCCAAACCACCATTTGATGACTGACAATTTTGTTTTCATGTTTAATAGTTGATATTTTGTGCAGCATTATAGTGGATGTCTGTATGGGGGGGACAAGTAATGGCTTGGAAGCATAGCTCTGCTTTTTAAACCCTTTTCCCATGCACCATTTCCCTATTTTAACTAATAAAAAGCCTGCTTCCCCCCACTTTCACTGGGAAAGGACAGCAAAGAAAATGGGTCTCGTGGTCATGTTGAGAGTTTCCAGGCAGAGGGCTCCTATGGCGAACAATCCAAAGATACCATGCAGCTTTTCTGCCTTCTTTTTAAACCATTTTTATTTCCAGTAAGAACAAGGACAGGGAGCATATTGTCTTAAGAAGGAAGTGGAAAGAAGATCTATAACAGCAGTGAAGAAGGCTAATGGCATAACATATGTGGAAAAGGGAATTCATGAGTAATATATTAATTTCTTCTCAAAGCTCTCTCTCTCTCTCTCTCTCTCTCTCTCTCTCTATATATATATATATATATAGCTGGATATATATAAATCAACTCCAGAAGATGGGATGGAGAAATATATTGAAGAAACAAGGCTTGAGAAATTTACACCAGAGCAGAGGAAAATATTGAATGATACTATCACTATTCAAGAGCTATCATAAGCTATCATATACAATTACATATAATGTAATTGTATATGTTGGGAAAATAAAAATAAAAAAGAACACGGATAGGAAGCAGGCTACAGATGGAAGATGTGTGGAGTCTCTGCAAAATAGGCAATAAGGGCCTCATCTGGAATTATCCTTACGGACTTGGCTTAGTGATTGCAAGTTTGCTGTTAGGCTGCAGAGAACAGCATTTGCCATTCAAATCAGAATGACCTGGCACCTTCACATATTTAAAATGATTATAAGACATAGACAAGGAAAATCTAAGATGGGTTGAGCCTGCGTAGTCTGTAGAGAAATGCCATAGCCATGAAGCTATCTAAAAACATTATTGCTGCAAACAGGAATGTGCAGGACATCCCCCAGGAGAGCACTCAGGGCCTGCAGGACAGGGCTGTGTGAGGAATCTCTTTTCAGGGTAGGAATCCATCAGATGCCCTGGGCTCACCATCCCAGCCTCGGGTCCACTTTAACATAGCTGTGAGTCTGGCTTCTGGGTGGGCGCGCCCAGCGTTTCTGCTCACCACTGTGCAAGGCGTGTGCCCTCTGTGGCAGCCACTGTTTGTGCTGCACATTGGAAATGAAGAAGATGGCTGGTTGCACAGTCTTTGTCCCATAAGCACTTGTAGACGTCATCTCCGCTTGGCTCACTTTTTAAAACAGGGCCACACACAAGAGAAAGTGTGTGAATGCTAGAAGAGCACGAAGTTGCACGTTTGTGCAAACTTGTGCTGGTTGCACGAAGTTTTAACACATCTGTACCATAGGATACATCAGATTCCCGAAACGGAGGCTTTAGGCACTAGTGGTGTGCAAGGAATCTCTCTTCTGCAGAAAATCTGCCCGATTTCCTGCTTTTAGCTTCCTGGACTCCAGTCGACTTCGCAATGGCCCAGGAGTCTGAGTTCTCGGCAAACGTGTCCAGGGCATTTGCTAGGAATTGAGCCCCATGCATTGCTCAAGCAGCATCATTCACCTGCAACCCTTTTCCATGTGTTGCTGGCAGCAGCAGCAGCAAGTGGGAAGAAGGTTTGGCCACCAGGAAAGCTGGCCGGGGAACATTGCTGGCTGCACAACTGGGGGTTGGTGAGCATTCGTGGAGTGGTTCTGCTCACTTTACCGGACTAGGCGAAGCTTGAGAGGCATTCTGTGGATCCAGGAGGGATGGATTCTGACCAAGGGTCTACCCAACCTTAATAGGCACTCCTGTAACCTCAGGAGGGAAAATGGGCTATCTTGGCTTCCTTCTCCTGCCAGCTCCACCCCTGTGCAGCTGCAGAGGAAAGCATAACAGAAGTTGTTCCCCTGATGTTGCAGTAATGCTTTTGGAAATGCTCAGAGGAAATGAAAAGGGTTGTTGTTGTTAGGATAACATGCAGTGGAGGAGGACTATGCAAGCCACCTTGGGTTCCTCACCAGAGATAAAAAGGCAGGATATAAAAGCACTATAATAATGGTAAGTCCCAGTTCACCATGGATAGCTTTCTCCTCCACGAATTTCCATTTTCATTGAAAACTGTCCAAATTGCAGTTCCAAATTTCCTAATTTAGGTGCTGTGTGAAGGATCTTCTTCTGCCTCTCCTGAAGCTGCTGCTAATAAATTTCAGTTGGTGACCCAGAGTTAATGTTGCAAGGGAGATAACGGACTCATCACCCACTATCTGCATACCATGCATACTTGTGTAAATTTCTACCATGACTCTCTCCCTAGCCCCTGATAGATGTTGCCATTTTCCTAAGTAGGAATCGCCAAATACATTAAAGGCATTTTGATCCAGGCTGTTCAGACATTTTTCATGTTCATACAACACAAAGCAGTAGGAAAAATGAACGTGTGGCCTCTCTCCCACTTGTGATTATCTGGCGCTGTCTTTGGGCATTGTAGGTACAGACCTTTATCCCTTCATCCCCTGGTAGTCCTTGATCTCCAGGAGCTCCAGGATAGCCATCAGAACCCTAGGAAGGAATTCAAGAAAGAGATGTTTGTAGACCTTGTAACATGAAGGTGCTGTGCTGGCTTCAGCAGTCAGGGGAAGAGTTTGCTGGGAACACCAAGGGCCAGTCTTATGGGACCTGGGAGAAGGCCTTGGGGAGGTTCTTGTCCCCCTCTCAGGTTAGGGTGGCAAGAACTCTCAGTTGGTCTCAAGGTCACAGGAGATAACCAGTGACAAAACTGATGGCCAGCACCGGGAGTTAGTGGGTGAACCCCAACAACTGAGCATTAGGCAATCACCCCATGGCCACCTGACCGAGGCTGGGGGCAATGAAGCTCCAAGGGCTGAGGAGGGTTTGTTCCTCTCTTGGAGTGGTTCTGTCCTGCTGCCAACTCTCCGTCCTGATGACTGCTCTGGTATCCTGCTTCACTGTGCTGTCAGAACGTAGAGTTCTGCCTAGGCTGGGAGTGAAAATGTTTCTCGTTTCCTTGTCCAAGTGGGCCCTGGCAGTGGGGTTCTTGGTTGGCTGTAACTTTCTTTGTTGCTGCTGACCAAATCACTTTCCCCCCTCCCTTCTCCTTTTTCCCTAATTTTATCCTGTTAGACTTGTATGCTTTAGTACCCCCATCCCTGTTTTTAAACTTTTAATAAAGTTGTTTGTTTCCCCAAGCTTGGGTTTGTCATGTGCTGGATCCAGTGGTTGGTCCAGGGTTTCTGGATGGGATCCAGTTGGCCAGGGGAGTGGTGGATCCCAACTGACAGACCTGACCACAAGCTATTGATTTTCAGAAGTGTAATGAAAAGGAATGAGTTCTGGTTCACAAAACAGAAGAATGATGAAGACAGTATACTTTTAAACAAAGAGACCACTGTCCCTTCCTTCCTTCTGTCTCCGTAGGAGCTACTTTTCTGTATCATGAATTGACAGGAATCAACTCAAGGAGAGCATTAGATGTGATCTAAAGGGCTCCTTTTCTGTTCATGCACTTGATGCTATTTTACTTGCGTCAGCATTTTCAGGGAAATACTGAGTGCATTTGCATGTCACAATAAGCCAGGGTGGCTTATTTGCTGTGCAAAATAATCTATAATGGGCTCAGTAGATAATTGTAGCAGCTATCAACCCTAGCCATTGTCCAGAAGAGACTCCAAATTGTTTTCCCCTCTTCTTTGGTTTCTCTAACAGCTGTTTCTTGATGGCATGGATCTTCACACTGTATTTACAGCAACTCCTCATTTCTACCCCCTCCCCACAGCTAGCCCCCAGGGGTACAAAACCCACAGGCAGGCCAGCTTGAGCAAAACTATACAGGTTTGCATGGTATTTGCAACCCATTACGTGCAGCAACCCATGATGAATTGCCCTGTCAAGAAAACCTAGGCATTACGTTACATACCAGTGCTGCTGAAATTTATAGAGCCACAGTTGGAAATCATTCCTACCCTGTCGCCTGGATCACCTTTGCAGCCAGGAGGTCCAATACGTCCCAGTTTACCCTGGAAAAAACACATATAAAAGCAATGACTGGAGAGAGGCTAAACTGTAGTAAAGGGGAAAATATATTTTTCATTCTCCTCCTAAAAGGTCCAGTCCTTGACAACTGATTACTCATTTCTCTTTATATTGGACATTCTGGGAAGAGAAGATGTTCTAAGATGGCTTTCTGCCCTGATGGGAACACAACTGAGGAGTAAGCTGAGCACACAAGGAAGAAGGTAACAAACAAAGACATAGAAAGTTGTGGGATACAGCAGCACTTCAACAAGCATGCACTGGGGACCATGTGCACTGACTTCACTTCTGTTTGTCATTTGGGCTAGTAGGAATTACCACAGGGCAGGACAGAGCTTCCATGCTGAGGGCGTGAGGCTCTCCTGAATAATTCCAGGATACCTTGGACTAGCTCAGGTTTTCAAACTCTGTCCCACACCTAATGCATTGCAGTAACACAACTGGGAGTAACCAGAGCACTGGTACTTGTAACTGAACTATCCTTGTCCAGACAAGAAAGTAGTTGGCATATTAGTCCAAGCTGTTAAAAATGCCCTGTGCCACTGAGTCCACCTGTGCCTCTAGTAACAGGACTGGATCCAAGAGTGCCTTCAGACCATGAGCCTGATCCTCCAGTGGGAGTGCAAACCCCTTCAGAACAGGTTGACTCGCTCTCCTCCAGCCAAACAAGCCATGCACAATTGGTCCTCTTCCAGTCTGTTACAGGCACAGCCACTGACTCCCCTGGATTTCTTAATCAGGAGAGATAGAGCTATATATTAATGATACCTCAGCCCACACAGCTGTTTTCTATAGATTTTGCTCAGCATGTGGAATAAGACTGAGCCCAGTGAAACCCATTGCATAACTGCCAAGGCCCGGAGCAATGACCCCGCAGCACCACCGTCTTGAATCATCAAGGAGAAGTGGAACTACTGCAAAACAGAACCTCCAGCTCTCAACCTGGGCAGTCTATCCAGAAGGATGTTATGGCCGCTGGTACCACCACCCTCTCTATCTCCAGTGAGGGTCACGCAAAAGGGTAATCAAGGTAGTTTCTGTTCCCAAGCAAGCCCTGGAGCTTGAGTGAAATGGATCTAGATAATCCTTTTAATTCAAGGATGCCAGGAGTTGACTGGCAACCACCTGTTCAAACACAGAAAAGAAATACTGGTTATTGGCCTATAGTTATCCTCTGGGTCCAGCTTAGGGTTTTCAGAAGTGGCCAAAGTGCTGCTTCCTTTAAAGAGGCTGGTACCACTCCTCTTGTCAAGGAGAAGTTTATTACCTCCTGGACCCATCCTGATATTTCTCTTTATTAGAAGTAGAGCTTCAGCGGTGGAACAGTATCAAAATGAAATGAATCAATAAATACCCTGAAGGAGAAGGTCAAGGACACAGGTGATTAAATGGACTAGGCCAAGCACTTTGTCCACATCCTCAGGCCTCAACCTGGGCAGTCAGCAATTGAAATCAGCAATTGAAACCTCAGCAATTGAAATTCACCCAATAAAGCTGGGCCAAGCAGTGCTCTGGGCAATTGTATTAATGGAACTGCATTGATTGTGGTGTCTAATTAGTGACAGATCAGAGTGACTTTATCTTCAAAATGCCATGTACAGTTGACACAGTGTGCTACTGAGGGTTTCAACATTTTTCTCCCTGGTCCAGATTACTATAGGCCATGAACCACTGAGAAAAGGCCCCACTGACAACACTCAGCTCCTCTGTGAAGATGTGATGGTTGCAGAAAAGAGGGAGAAGGCATCTGAGTGCCATCATTTCTGATGTCTGTGTAATCTCTGCATTGTACAAATTGACCAGGGGTTCAGTAGAAGCACCAGCCATAGCAGTGGGAAAATCCCCCGGGATCTTTTGGAATCCACTGCCCTCCATTCGCTTCTGTGGGCAGAGGAGAAAGGCTGTTGGGCATCTAAACCTCAATAGAAAGCAGTCTAGCCATGGCAAGGATAAATGTTGGTTCCCTTGTTTTCAGATGGTGATCCTCCTGCCCAACTAAGGTGACCAAGGCTATGGGGAAGGGTTAGTCTCTTCCAGTTGTGCCTTCCCCATACTCTCTTCTCCAGTCTTAGCAATGCATATGAGGTCAGTCTTCTCATCCACAATTAAATCATAGCTGAGGGCGATTTGTTTCAGAGTGAGCTGACATTCAGCAGTAGTACCACCAGACCCACGGATAAGCTGGCAAGGCTGCCAAGAGCCATCTAACTGGAGGAGTAATCAGGAGGAGGAAGATGTCAATCCCCCTCTTCCTCAACTGGCTTGTTAATCCCCCAGGCCTATAGCTAGAAGCAAAAATGACAAAGCTGTGGCTATAATACGTCAGACACATCATGAGAGGGCAGGACTCCCAGCAGGAGACAGTTGTGTTAGGGAAAGTTTAAGACAGAAGCCAAAGGGAAGACCAAATATGAGTCGGATCAAATCCATAAAAGAAGCCACAGCCTTGGGCTTGGGGGAGCTGAATGGAGCTGTCATGGAGAGGACGTTTCAGGGGACTTTCATTCACAGGGTCATCAGGGGTTGAATATGAGTTGATGGCACATAGCAACGCATACCTTTCTACCCACCATCTCATTAATAGTGAGTGCCCAATTCCCCACTGGGTTATTCAAGCTTCCCACACTCATGTTCATTTTAAAACGTTAATATAAAGGAGAAAGGCTCAGCTGTCAGTACAGCAGCTAACATGGAGCAGGTGAAGTTTACAGTTGCATCTCTTGAGTAACATTACCTTCTGTCCATCAGTACCATTCCTTCCAGCCAAGCCAGAAGATCCCTGAAATAAAACAACCAGAGCTTTAGAAACAGCTTTCTTTGAAAAAAATAAAAAAAATAAAAATAAAATAGAGCCGGGATAATGGGTAAGGTTCAAAGAGTTGGCTTTACCTTCCTTCCATCTCCTCCAAACTCTCCCTGAGAAAGACAAAGGGGGAAAAAGACAAAGATGAATTAGGCTTATTTAATTAAAAACAATCACAATGGTTTGGCAGATTAAGAGATTATTTAGGAAACAACAGAATGAACTGTAAAATTCTGTGTTACTGAGTATTATAAAACAAACTCTTTGTGTTTATGCCTCCTACATCCACTGAAAATAGGTCATGCAGTCCATCAAGCACTGACCACACAGTATATAGGTAGTTCAGTAGGATATGTGCATATGGGAGGCCTCAGTCTTGGATATCCCCACAAAGAATTGTTTCCATTTCTAGACCACTCAGTGGAATGATCATTATTTTGAATTCTTATTACTCTGATAAATAAGCACAAGCAAACTGCACTTCCAAGTTTATACAAACTTCCTTGATTTCCATATAGTAAAATCCTTGGTATACTTGCAACATTTTCTTGAACACTGAATATGAGATGCACAAGTATACTAACTGTCTGAAAACCCAATATACTTCCCAAATTTTTCTAAGTAGTGTATGAATACTTTACCTTTTCTCCTTTTAGACCACGAATACCCTACAAAAGGAACCAAAAAACATATTAGAATTTGTTGACAGATATGTTACCAATTTTATTTATTTATTATTTATTGCATACATTTATACCCCATCCTATTGCTTCAAGCACTTAGGATGGCTTACAAGATATAAAAATACAATAAATATAAAACTACTACACTAAACATTAATTATTAAAACAATATAAAACACATCACTATAGAAAATGCAACTGGGAAAAAGTGGGGGGGGGATCCTAAAACGTCTAAAAGCATTAATTGTTAAAATAATAATCGAATAACAAGGTCTTAACCTGGTGCCGGAAAGAATATAACATCGGTGCCAGGAGGACCTCTCTGGGGAGCAGATTCCATAGTCTGGGCGCCACTGCAGAGAAGGCCCTCCTCCAGGTAGACACCCTCCGTACTTCCTTCAGAGAGGGTTCCCGGAGCAAGGCCTCCCCCATCAATCTTAAGGGGCGTGAGGGCTTACAGGGGTGGAGATGTTCCTTCAGGTAGTCCAGACCTAAGCCATTTAGGGCTTTATAGGTTAATGCCAGCACCTTGAATTGGGCCCAGACTTCAACTGGGAGCCAGCGTAGCTGATAAAGGACTGGCGTTATGTGAGAATAACGACTGGTCCCCGTCACCAACCTGGCAGCTCTATTTTGTATCAATTGAAGTATCTGGACTGTTTTCCAGGGCAGCCCCACGTAGAGCACATTACAGTAAGCCAACTAGGAAGTTACCAGGGCATGGATCACCATTTCTAGGCAGTGCTTGTCCAGGTAAGGACACAGCTGATGAACCAGCCGAAGCTGGAGGAAAGCACCCCTCACCACTGCTATCACCTGGGTTTCCAGGGACAGCTCTGGGTCAAGGAACACTCCCAAGCTGTTGATCCTGCCCTTTAGAGGAAGTGCTACCCTGTCCAGGCAGGACCAAAGTCACTTACCTGAAAATCTGAACCGCCCACCAACAGGACCCCCGTCTGATCTGGATTAAGCTTTAGAGTTCTGTTTGACATGGTACTATGACCACACTGAACCTTCCTCAATACTGAAGGCACCTTGTCATTAGTTCTTGCTCATTTTGATCTAACCACCAAACACACCTGGGCCAAATTCTAAGGCCTTCCACAGTGCCACTGATCTGATAAAGTCTTAAACTGGATTATTGATAACCTGCTATGGCAAATTTGCAAAATGGTATCCTTTCTCTTATTTGAGACATACACACATGCTTAAACATGAGACACAAAATCATTTACCTTGGGACCAGGATATCCAATTGGACCTTCAATTCCTGGATCTCCCTATATTTAGAGCAACAAATAATATTGTTAGTTATAATTCAGCAGGGCTTAATTCTGAGTAGACATGTTTAGGATTACATTACTAGTTATTTACATACATTGTTCCTGATAGCAGCAGTCACATTTATAAATAGTGAACTGAAATTGCTAAGCTACTGAAAGTTGGAAACAAACAGCAGCTTATAAGAGATGAAAACAGCTTGAAATGAGCTTTGTATCCACCTGTGCAGATATAGATCTTTTATCCCACTATCACCTCAGCCAAAAATCTTCATGATCAGAAGCAGATGGGGGGCAAATGCACACTGCATGTACAGTAATGTTTCTCAAACTGCCTTCAATGTAATCCTCAGGTATGGGGAGCCCCAGTTTGGACTGGGTCACTGAGGAGGGAGGGATTTCTTAACTCATCACTCCCCAATGAAGTCATGATTTGGATTGAGGGCCCTGCGGCCACTGCCCGCACTTAAAAAACCCTTTGCACAATTGGTATTTGTGTGGATGGTGTCATGCTTAGACTGGCCTTGAATGCTCAGAGTGGGGGGATGAAGGTGCAGGCCAAGGGCCTTTGCGAAGGACGTGCAGCGAGGCTGAGGCCAGCACCGGGGCAAATAAATGGGGAGGGAACGTTAAGTGGACCTCTGCTTCTTTCTGTTGAAAGTGTGCTTATTAAAAATGATTTTGTATTAAACGTGTACTGACAAGACTTTCTCTCAAGTGGAATTTGAGAGCATCAGATTCCTCAGGTAAGGATAACCGTCTATCTGCCTAACTTGAGGGTTAAATACTAACCCCCAAACTGGTATTCAAATGTGAATATGACTGAAAATGATACTGAGTATTCGAATACCCCTTTTCCCCTGCAGTGGAGGGCAGGACACATTCCAATGGAGCAAAGCTCAGGGAACTCTGGATTCAAGGTGGATGCCAGGAATTACTAGGGCATGGAATGGGCTTCCGTGGGAGGTGGTTGAAGCCCCATTGGTGAGGGTGTTTAAGGATAGGCTGGACATGCACATGGCAGGCATGTCATGAGCAGAGCTGGCTAGAGCTGGGGGTCAGACTTGATGATCTAGGAGGCCCCTTCTGACTTGCTCTGTTTCTCTGAATATCTTTTGCCCAAAGTGGTCTGTGCATCCCAGTTGTCAGCAGATACATGAATTCAGTTCTCACTTTTTTCAGTTACTCACCTGCCGTCCTTTCAGCCCAGGAGTTCCTGGGGCTCCCATGTTACCCTTTGCACCCTTGAAGCAAATAAAGAAATAAAAAAGATTAGAATGGCACTTCTTGAATTGCCCCCACAGCAATAAAATGACAATTTATGCAGTTTGCAGTATCTGTGCTAAGCAATATATTAGAGACATAGAACAAAGATCTTGTTCTATCTAAGTTCAATCATATCAGATTTGACATGACACAAGAAGCTAAATAATTACACAGAGGGTCCCAACACAGAAGGGACCGACCCTGAAAGTAGAAAAAGGAAATCAGCGGTCATATGCCCTTTCATTTTTAAAAGGACCATTAATGACTAGATTGGGTATATACTTATAGAATAGTAGAGTTGGAAGGGGCCAGAAGGGCATCAGGTCCAGTCCCCTGCTCAGTGCAAGCCTCCAAGTTAAACCTTCACTCTCAGATGGTTGTCATGTATGCACACATGTATCTATTAGGCTAAGCAAAGGAGCTTCTGGGTTTCAATGCTTTTGGACATACTTGTACTTATAGCATTTCTAACCTCTCTCAAAAATGCAGCAGACAAAACCCCACTTATAGCACAATCAGATTACTAGAAAGTAAGCTGAATTCAACCAAGCTTATTTTCAGGAAAGTGGGTACAGGAGCAGTTGGTGTGACTTTGATATTACTCTTACCGAACTACCTTGGCTGCTTCAAACACTGTTATCTGCAGAGCACGTTATAACTTCAGTGTTACTGACAGCTGGTGACGTCCTTCCAGCTAGAGCAGAGCTAGAGTGTGGGCAACTTGTGATCTCTGAGAGGTTCGGGCTTACAGCTCCCATTCTCCCTCTCCACTGGCTAGTGCTGATACGAGTTGCAGGCCCAAACACCCTGAGGACCACAAGTTGCCCATGCCTGGGCTACAGAGCTCTCAAAGGCAGAACATCTGGTCTGGGCCAGCCTTCAGTCTCTTTTACTCAACACACAATGATTATATCTTGTTGAAATGAATCACTGAAATATATTTTCCCATCCTACAAAGCGAGAAATGTTTCCTTTTCAGTTCATGAAAATTTTCTCCTGTGGTACAGTATATGTGGGTAGATATACCCACAATGATCTCCTGAATCCATTATGTTTTAGGTAATTCAAAGATATTTTTCCATTTAGTTCCTTGACAGGCAGATGTCATCCGTTGTTTGTTTCTTACCTTTTGTCCTCGAAAGCCCTTTGGACCAGATGGGCCTTCAATTTCTAGGCAGCTCATTTTATAGCACTGAAAACAATTACAAAGAAGGTTAGATGAAGCTTTCATAGCGAAGAGCTATCCTTATACTCTTAAAAAAGGGCCTTCTAGCTAAGAAGCAAGCTGTCATTTAAGTGGCAGGCCTCCGGAATCAATCCCATCATTCTATTCAATTAGCCTTAGGTTTCCACCCTTGCCCTATCAAAGCGTTTAGAGGTGACATATATTCTTTTTCGGTTTGAGAACTGTGCATCCTTATCCTATAATTTTGCAATATTAATTGACTACGTACTGAACTTGGTTTTGTGAATTGTCTCTCCCATTTCATTCATAGTTAAGAAGTCTATAACAAGCTGATCTATAAAATGGTTAAGAAAGACACAGTCAAATTTGCAACTCAGTTCTAAACATATTTTATCAGAAATAGGCCTCACTGAGCTTAAATAGAATTTTCTCCTAGGCAACGAAAATCAAATCCGTAGTGCTATTGTAAATCCCAATAGCTGTGTATCCCCCAGTTGTTGCAGTGCTGTTGGTCATGTACTTACCTCGGCAAAGGCTTCATGTTTCTGTTTGGGAAAGAATAAAAAGAAATCTAGTTCAGTAGTTAGAATTATTAGTTCTTGTAGAAAGTAAGAATCTATTGCATATTCCTCTGCATATAAGTTTTCTCCTCTGTCTACATGCCTGACAGCCTATTATCCCAGTGTCCTCCATATAAATTTTATTTTATTTTATTTATTTAAATGTGGGATTTAGCCCTGAACTTGGCACCCTGGGCATCACAGGTCTCTCAGGCCTTTTAACGCAAGTCTCTAGGCCTTATGAGCTGTGTGGAAATGCCATGTGGACTTTATCTGGCAAAGGATCAGCAACCAGTGAAGGAATAGAGACATTTCAGTGATAATGGGAGACTTAGCTCCTTGTTTCTTGCCCCCAGATATCCTAGGTGCTTCTGGCCTTCCTTGTTATCAAGTATCCACCTTCATGTCCTTTCTTTACTTTGCACTTTGACACTGCACATGCTGTTAGGAAAATCCCAGTGCTTCCAGAAATGTGAATTTTGGCAGCAGAATAAAGTCTACAAAGTGAAAGGAAATAGGGCAGAGCTGAGTGGTAGGCGGCACATTTATCTATAAAAGGCCCCAGCTTCAATCCCGATCATGCCTTTTAAGAGAACTCAGGTAGCAGAGTTGGGAAAGCATCATGTGCTTAATATAGGGTAAGCATAGGTCTGGATCGACTAAATTTGCACACTATAAATTTCAGAACGTGAAGATTATGTGAGCATTATAAGTGATTCAGGCATGCCATAGGAACATCTTTGAGGACCATGCGATTCAGTATTTGGTTTCTTAAAGTGGGACAAAGTTTCTGTATTTTATATCACCTCATGACAAGGCTGATGAGTGTCATGATCCTACACAGTCTACATAATAAAAGGTGCTAATGAAGGAGGACTTCCTAGAAATGAGAGGCAAGACGTATACATTTCTCCTCCCTTTCAAAGAAAGGAAAGCTGCTCACTGAACACACATAGCAAGCTGAATCTCCCTTTTACCCCTCCCAAACTTTCAAGCTCAGGGGAAGGGCAAGGATTTTGCACAATTCCTAGCTGATGAGCAGAGTTTGGGCATGCACGGGAGGACTGCTATACCACGGAGACACCCTTGCCCGTTTGGGTCTCGGACATGGGCAGCAGAAGATCAGGCATAGGCATCAGGACCAGGGTGTCTGGAGCAGAAGCCAGCACTAGTTGAGGAAACCTCAAAACTCCTCGTGCTCTCCTGGGAAGTGAGGGGGTTGCCAGGGCACAGAGCAGCATAGGAGGCAGGACTGTATTGCAAGCGCTACCAGCAACTCCTGCAGGGTGCACACCTGGGCCTGCAGGGCTTGAGTGGCGCCGCTCATCCCTGCACTCATGACTCATGGTCAGGGTGCAAGGCAGCCTCAGCAAACTGGCAGAGTCCAGGACATGGACAGTGGGGAAAAAAGACACAGGCACACAGATCTGGGCAACCAAATCAGTGTCCAAATGTTAAGCTTAGTCCAGTTCAACAATTCAAAGTCATAGCCAGGAAGAGTAGAGATGTGAGGTCCACACAGTCCAGTGCACAATAACATAATCAGGACAGGCTAGAAGTCAGAAACTGAAGCAAGGCAGCAGGAGGTGAAGGAACTGGGGGACCAAAGCAGGAGCAGGTACTCAGATAACAGAAAACAAGTCAGAAAACCTCCACTGCCAAGGCAGCTTTTGGAGGGAAGAGCCAGATCTTATATAGCTCTTCCTGCAGGATTCCCAGGCGCTGCTCATGAGGACCCTGGCAGCTGCACGAGATTGAGGGAGTAATCGTGCAACTACCAGGGCTGCTATGCCTGTCCCTGGCCAGCAGAGGGAGCCCTGAAGCTGCTTCAGATCCTGACACTGCCAGGCATTTCAGCAACACCACTGTTCCATCGAGATGGGAACTAGAGCTAGGTTGTTTCCCCAGCCACTGTCACCAACCGGAAGAACAGCAAGGTATGGATAGATGTTCCCATATGTGTGTATATTTAGGACAATTCCCATTCAGAATTGAAGATGACATCCTGCAATACTGGCATAATGTGTGGCTACCAAAATCATGTAGTCACTTTTGTTCCAACTGTGGTTGACATTGCTCAGTTATGAATTGTGCTGAATAATACTGTCAGATTAGGGGCTTTAATTGTGGTACACTATGCTGTGTAATTACATTAATTTTATTCTTATGGAATTGTGCACAACTTTATTTCACAATTTTTCTTTATATTTTATAGAATGGCCTTTTGTACATGTTTGTAAAAAGAAAACGTGTACAGATACGCCCCTATGGGTAATTCTGCAGTACTCATCATCCTGCTAGTTGCTGGTGCTATACAGACTGGGATGGGGTGTGGGAAAGTAATCGTTTCTTCCCCAGAATCTGAAGACGATCTTGCTTGCGTATGCTAGCAAGGGGAGTCATAATGTAAAAATAAAGTGGAACACTTTACCACAAGAAAACGGAGGTGAATATTTGGGAATCCATAGGCAATGATGCTTCTGCTTCTGCATCCTTTACTATATTTATAGGTGTTCATCCACAACTGTTCACCTGATGGGTAGTTCTGAGTTGGTCAGCTTAAGTCTGCCCTGAACCAACACGGATTGGAGGTGAGAGCTTACCTGGTGGAGTGCTTCCCCACACAAAGAGCACAGTGCAGAAAATGAGTATGTAGAGGAAAAAGTTGGGCTCCAACAAGCTCTCTTCATGGGCCGATTTTATGTCTTTTTTTATGAGTGAGGATTCAAACACATGAATTCTATCTGTAGTCTGAAGTGGTAGAGTCCAGACATAGGATTTACACTGACGGTGAGAATTTATTTATTTATTTGTTTGTTTGTTCTGTTTCTGTCTTGCCTTTTTTCCTTCAATGAATTCAAAGAGGTTGATATAATTGTCTTCCTCTTAAACTTATCCTGTTTGGCATGTTAAAACCTTAAATTTAACCATAATTGGATCTCAGCTAAAGATTATACAGCGCCCAAAAAGGATATTTACATTACATTTGAGAAGCACAAAAGTCTCGTGGTTGAGTTCCTAAATATGTAGATCACAGCCAGAATCAGGAAAAAGAAAAGTAATTCTATGGAAATTGTATAAATGGGGAGCATTTGCATGAGAGATCTAAGGTTCCAGTACACAGATGACCAGTTTCAGTCATGAACAAGAAACAGCTCAGCCCTTGTCACTTGAAAGCTTAGGGGGAGGGGGAGCCATTAATTTTGTTTTCTAAAGGAACAGATCAGTTCTTACCATAACTTGGATGATCCTCTTAGCAGTGCTGGTATCTACATCAATACCATCTTTCTGTGTGGTGGTATAGTTGTTACGGTAAAGTTCAAGTGGGGAGCTGGCAATCTCTCGGAGCCCTTGTTCATAGATGTTTCTGCTGGGGGCCACCGCAAAGAGCTTGATTCCTGCATCTCGTGCTCTTTCAGCTTGCAGCTTCATCCCTCCACAGGGGCTTCCTGTCACGTGGCCATCAGTGATCACAACCGCATAATTCACCCCTGGGGCTGTGTTGGAAAGTATCTGTGCGGTCATGTTAGAGAGGGCACAGTCTGTGAATGTGCCTCGGCCGATGTACTGAATATCATCCAACTTCTTGAGGTATGCATTCTTGTCATTGGTGAAAGTACTGTAGATTTTCACCACATCGGAAAAGTGGAGTCCCCCGTATTGCCAAGTCATGGACACTTGACCCTGATAGAACTCATTCTCCAGCATTCGGATGAATTCATGAACAAAATTCTTGGCAAGTTTCACCAAACTCTCAATGGGGATCGTCTGCAGGGCAACGCTCTCAGATGTGTCAATCACAAAATACACCCTGATGGGGCAGTCAGTCTTATCTGAGTAAAAAGAAAGTGAGGAAAATGGTACTTCAGTAGATCTTGATGCAACTATATCAGTAGTCGTTGGGCCTGGACACTTTAGGCCTGTGCCCGCTTTGTGCCATTATTAGAGCAGCTAAGGATACGCGTAGCATTTCTTGCGACCGCTGCCACTGAATGCCAAATAAGTGAAGCAGTAAGGGTGGGTGAATCTGCCAACTTCACCTCTATTTAGTTCCTCATTTGTCCAACCCTGCCCTCATTTAGGCCCAGTAGCCTAAATGAAAATCTGCACAAAAATATGCAGTCATTTTGGTGTGTACTTCCCCAAAAGGGATGTGCACTTTTTGCTAATACACCTATTTTTGCAAGCTATTTTTCTAATGTAGGGTATTTCTTTGTACAATGTTAGTATTGTACACATTTTTGTGTTTACTCTTCTTTGATACACGTATTTTTCTACACTTACTTCTTTTGAGAGGGGAGGTATATTGAAAAATTGGAAATGGGAGGATTTCAGTGTACAGTTGTGTTCCAGTTTGCCTATTTTTTTGAGAGGTGCAAATTGGATAAATTCTCATAAAACATCAGACTGAACAAATTTCTCACCTTTCTCTAAATGGCAGACAATACCAAGCTATGATTGCGCCAGTGGGCAGTTTGGTCTGCACTGTGTCTGCTGCTCAATCAGCAGCTATGCACCAGCACGGTGCTACTAACCAGGCTGTCCCCTGTCCACCACTGCCCCCTTCCGTTAATCTGACCAATGGTGAGGCACACGCCCTGCCCTTCTTCTCACTTCTTCTGTTATCCACGTTCCTTTATGGAGACAGTTTGAACACAGAATTGTGTCACTGTGACAGACAACTAAGTGTGATCATCAGCATTTTGTGCTATATGCCCTAAAAGTGGAATAATATTATACATGCCAGCAGTCACTAGATTTTGGACACTCTGTGACATTTTTATGATTTTTCCTAAAGTGATTTAATAACTATTTACACATAACTTTTATCGGTTGTATACCTCATTTATGCTAGGTGAATATCATAAATCCAGAAAAGCTGTGGAAATCTGAACCTTCCAATTGTGTAAATACAGTGTTAATATATCGCACAACGTGCAAGAACATCTACGCAAGCAGTGCCAAGTAACATAATTTCTGAAACAGCAATTTCCATCAGATAATTTGCTTCACAGCTTTTTCAGCATTTACTTACGGTGCAATGCTATACATATCTGCTTGGAATTTCAATGGTACTTACTGCCAAGCAATGTATATAGGGGTACAACCTCAGTCATGCTGGCTGACATATAGTAGGTGTTGCGTGGCTTTTTCTCTGTCTCAGCAGACACAGGATTGTACCTTTAGGATGCTGACATCTTCCATGGCAGATTTCCTGAAGCCTCCTCACTTGACCTGTGTCTCGCTGAAGCACCAGGGAGGGAAGGAGGCTAGAACACTGAAAGGAAACTCTCCTCCCAGACCCCAGAGCATAACCCTCTTCCGCCTCTTGGAAGCCCTGTTGCATCCTTGGAGAGGCCGATAATGCAGTTCTTTCTGTACCAGCGGCGAGGGGGTTGGGCAGGGGTTCTGGCTCTAGAATTTCAGATCCAAGGCTGCAACACCTTGGTGCCAGGGCTTCAAGTAATCCCAGGTGCCTCCAAAGATTAGAGATCCTCCAATCTTAGGAAGCCATGGGATTGCTTCTTTAGTTGAATTTCCTGACATTAAATTTGGATCTTGGAAACTTGAAAGAAAAAAAAAAAGCTCAATTAAGTTTTCTTCCTCTTTTAGGGAAACACATGACATTTGACTTTTTAGAATGTAAAAGAAGGTTGGGATAAGGATCACCCTTATGTGTGAGGCATAACCTCATGATGTATAAATACAAACAGCAAAGAATTTTCCATAGATGTGAAAGAAAAAGGGTGGAAGGGTGGAAGGAAAGGACAACAAAGCAAGTTCTGAAATAGTCCTTTTTTAGATTTGTGATTTTACCTGCACAGGAAGAAGCTCCAGGAATTAGGTCTTCATCATTTTGAGCATGGAGGGGAATCAGAGCTGTGCAGAGCAGAATAGCTAAAAACACTTCCGAGGACATCTTGTTTTCTCTCTAGGTAGACTGGAAGTAAATAGTCACAGTAAATGAGAGGCAGATTGACTAAGACATGGCGTTCATGGTGCTACATTTCAACAGGATCTACTTTATTTCATGGCCAATCTTACTGAAGAGCCTGGAGGAGCAGCCTCAACATCTAGACATTAGGAACGTCTAGCCTAGATAAAGAGAGTGTCCACTTTCGTACAGTGTAAACCTGGGGGCATAATTTCCCCAAACAGGCTGCTCTTGGCTGGACTGTTCTGCTGAACCCACCAGAGCCCTTCCTAGAGGAAGGGTCACTCAGTTTGAAGCGCTCTGACAGGTGGTGGAATATAGTAGGGGTGGGGAATGGAACTGCCTATCTATTAGTAATGAAAGCAAAACAAATGTTGCATGTAGGAGACAAGCAGCCATCTGAACATGCATGCTGGCGTAGATGAATCCCCTCTGCCTTGTCTGGCTGAGAAACTATTTGGCTAATTCTATGCAAGATGTGTTGATTACTTCTAGCTATCAAACAAATTAGTTCAGGAAGTTATTTATTTATTATATGTATATCCTACCTTTCTCCCACTGTAGAACTTAAGGTGGTTACAAGCTCAGGCCAGCCCCAAACCTGCTTAGCTTCCACATGGTGGAGGCCTTATATGCCTTCAGACCATTCTCTGGGCCTACTAAATGATGCTTGGTTTAATCCTACACTTTAGCCTCAAGGTTGGGTGTATTCCTGCACATGCCTGGGATTTCCTGTTGGGGAATTCTGCTAGTCAATCTGGGAAAGGTCCAAGACAGCAGAAGTGGACAAAAACCTCCTATCAGGAATGACAGCATCATTTATATATAACTCATTTGTCACTAGTCAGAATGGATAGGAAAGTTAAACTTTCCTAGATAGGAAGTGATGGACAAATGAGGAAAATAATCCAGTCTTCTAGATATCTAGTTGCTTTTTGCCTTGCCCAGCTTTCCAAAGATATATCAGAGTGAAAACAAAAAGTTTAAAAAATGAAAATGTAAAACTAAGGGAAATTAACACTTGTGGTCTTCCCATAAGTACCTTTTCAGCCCACAGATAATATTGTCATCCCTGAAAGGACTACGCTTCATATTCCCCTCTCTCTGTTCTTTTCCTTGCCTATAACCAAAGGCTTTTTGCCTCAAGCTTGGGCTTGAGGATCTTGACTTTTATTAACCCTGGAACTGAGGTGGATCTCAGAGAAGATTATGAGCAACATGCTGGCATATAAATTTCAGTCTTCTGGCATAAATGGTATCCATGTCCCTCAGTTATGTTTGGTTGACCTGTGCTCACATTTCCTTAACATTAAACAAACACTGTTTTCACGTCTGCACATTAAGGGTCCAGAAACCTCTTCTTTAGACCTCTAAATTCATACCTCCTTATCACACTAGTTTCCTTAAACTATATTAGATTGTATTCAGATTTATGTTGAAACAACTTCCTGACAGGAGTGGCTTTCTTCCACATCCCCACACCATCCCGTCCAGTCCCATGGAGATGCTACAGAAAACCTGCTGAATGGGGTGAGCTGTGGTATATGGGGGAGGGGAAAGCTCCTCAAAATGGGATGGAGGGACTTTGCATGAACATAGACCTTCTTCCTCTCACAGATGCCATATCCTGTAGCTAACCCATCGTTTCTACACCATGGAAACAGTTTCCACCAGAGTTTGCTCTGCTTCACTAATGCTGGCTTAACAGTAAGGCTGACAATATTTCAGACAAATGTGTACATTAAAACACATACACACACCCCTTGTAGACAATCCTAAAGCTGTTATAGAATAACATGGCTTTTTCTGCAGAGGAAATATACTGTAAATATAAAATATGGGTTGTAGTGGGTGCCTCAAATGGAGATCCTCTACCTGTGTTTTCCTGCCAAGATCTGTCCTTGAAGCTTTTTCTTGACTGCAAAACTGGAGTCTGGAATGCTTTCTCTAACACTGTACATTAAGATTTAAGTTCTGTTTCAACTTTCCATTGCATTTTCCCCCAGTGGCTCTTTGTGGGAATGCTCCCTAGGAGAACAAGACATTTTCTTTAATGAAAAGTTCCAGTGTAATCTCCACTATTACCAAGATCACTCAGCTGTGTTCTCATCATAGGCAAAGCATTTTCTGCTGCAGATCTAGAAACGCCCCTAAGTCACAGCCAACCATAAGGAAATAAATAAAAGGTCGGGGAACTTTTGGAAAACACCTATCAGACAGTGCTCCCCCTTCTCCCCAAATTCACTGTATGGCTTCTCAGAGGAAGAAGCTACAGATTAATTGTTTCTTCATACCATCATCTGTGAGCCATGGTGAGGTTCCTAGAATGTAAACTGCTCTCCCCTAAACCTCCGGACCCCCCTCCCCATTTTGGAATGCGGCTTGTAAGCATCACAGAAAGTATCTCCTCCCGTGAAGGACAACCATGCCCCAAACAGCTGGCTTGGCTAGAGAGATGTCAACTCTGTTTTGCAGAAACACAAAGGAACAAAACCAGATGTGGCATATGCAATAGATGAACGATTGCTGTTAGTCTTCTGCCTAACATGTCTTCAGATGTAACATCAGTGCACAAACAGAAAATACATGCGCACACACCCAAGTTCACCTCTGAAAATCACAACATGCTATTCAAAGGTACGGAGCAGTAGTTTAGTAAGGAAGAATCAACAGAGCAGTTTATGTCAATCTGTGAACTCTGTGCTGTCTTAATAAACCATGAAAATTGATAGAATTTCAGCGGTGATATCAAACTTCCCACTCTTTAAGAGCTAAACTTAAGCATATAATAATATTCATAATTACAAAATGGAAATTCAGTGATGGGCCAAAAGTGGTGGAAAGTGTTGTTCCTATAGCTCCTCATCATTTAGCAAATTTAAACCAGAGGTTTTTTTTTTTTTTACTGCTGAGACTAATCCAGTGATTACTTGAGCTAATATAATCCCATAAGTAGCAGAATCAATGTTATTATACTCTCCACCGGTAATATCACAAATGGCATTCCTGGCCTTGTTGTCCAAATAAAAGGCCCCCCAGCTGAGATGCTCAGTTTTCCAGAAGACACAATAAAAAACAAAAAATGAAGGCTTCATGTGAAAGGCATTTACATTGTAACACAATTTTAAGAACCAGCTCTACTCCCGTATAAGCAGTGCATGTATTAAAAGCACAGCACAATTCACATTTAAAATTATCACAATACTGTCCTGTCCTATATGTAATAAACAACTATTACATATTCCTTAAACTTGCTCTACTCTGGAATATTTACAACTTACTTGTAAAATAATCAGATCATCAGAGTTCCTTTGGGAAAAATGCAAAATGAAGAAATGTCTTGCTTTCCTCTGATTTCAACAGGGGTTTTGCATCTTCTTGGAGAAAGAAATATTTGTCTTTTCTTAATTTTTGAGTGAAGCGAAGGACCCAATCAAGTGTGGCAGAGGTTTCTCTGACTGAAAGCCTCTGTTACTTCTCTGGAAAAAAGTAACTGCCTACCGCAGAATTCTCCTCCTTCAAGTCTTTCTTTGAGACAGATCCAAGCAGTTACTACCTCAAACAACCACAGGGTGGTGCTATGGATCTACCAATCCTGCGTTAGGAAAGGGTGTGCTGAAGGATTCCAGAAGGTGGTGGTTGGACGAGAATGTAGGCAAGAGGGGTGGAGGAAAGTTATAATTAAAAAAAGAAAAAGAAAAAGAAAAAACCAAGATGGCAACAGGGATCTTTTTCATGAAGTTTGTTTTCCTGCTTATTTATATTTATTTATAAATGTCTACTTATTTCCACCCCATGGAACAAAACACTGTGTAAAATTGTTCTTCATATTTCAGCTTGACTCCATATTTGCAAACTGAGTTCTTAGTTTCTATGCATAGTTCTACCTTTAATATTCTATATTTTATAGAAGCCTGCCACAAAGGAGGCGAACAAGGAGTCTAGTAGAAGGTGTGGGTTTCTTTATACCAGGGATGAGCAATTTGTGGTCCTTCAGATGTTCTGGCGTATAACTCCCATCATGCTAGCCAACAGGGCGGATTAGGCTAGAAAAGGTGATCCACTGAAGAAGGAAATGGCAACCCAATCCAGTACCCTTGCCATGAAAACATCATGGACAGTACCAAAAGGCAAATAGATATGACGCTGGGCTATGAGCCCCTCAGGTCAGAAGGTGACCAATGTGCTACTGGGGAAGAGCAGGAGCTAGTACTAGTAGTGCCAGAAAGAACGAAGCAACTGGGCCAAAGCCAAAAGGACACTCAGTTGCGGATGTATCTGGTGGTGAAAGGAAAGTCCGATGCTGTAAAGATCTATACTCCATAGGAACCTGGAATGTAAGATCCATGAATCAAGGCAAGCTGGATATGGTCAAACATGAGATGACAAGACTGAACATCGACATCTTAGGAATCAGTGAACTAAAATGGACAGGAATGGGTGACTTTAATTCAGAGGACCATCAGGTATATACTGTGGGCAAGAATCCCTCAGAAGAAATGGAGTAGCCTTCATAGTCAATAAAAGAGTAGGAAAAGCAGTACTGGGATACAATCTCCAAAATGACAGAATGATCTCAGTTCGAATCCAAGGCAAACCATTCAACATCACAGTAGTCCAAGTTTATGCCCCAACCACTGGTGCTGAAGAGGCTGAAGTTGACTGGTTCTATGAAGGCCTACAACACTTTCTAGAATTAACACCAAAAAATGATGTCCTTATCATCATGGGGGATTGGAATGCTAAAGTAGGAAGCCAAAAGATAACCGGAATAACAGGCAAGTTTGGCCTTGGGAGTACAAAATGAAGCAGGGCAAAGGCTAGCAGAATTCTGTCAAGAGAATACGATGGTCATAGCAAACACTCTTTTCCAACAACCCAAGAGACTACTCTACACATGGACACCACCAGATGGTCAACACAGAAATCAGATTGACTATGTGCTCTGCAACCAAAGATGGAGAAGCTCTATACAGTCAGTAAAAACTAGACCAGGAGCTGACTGTGGCTCAGATCATGAGCTTCTTGTTGCAAAATTTAGGCTTAAATTGAAGAAAGTAGGGAAAAGCACTAGGCCACTCAGGTATGACCTAAGTCATATCCCTGATGAATATACAGTAGAGGTGACAAATAGATTTAAGGAATTAGATCTGATAGACAGAGTGCCTGAAGAACTATGGACGGAGGTTCGCAACATTGTACAAGAGGTAGCAACTAAAACCATCCCAAAGAAAAAGAAATGCAAGAAAGCAAAATGGCTGTCTGAGGAAGCTTTACAAATAGCTGAGGAAAGAAGGGAAGTGAAAGGCAAGGGAGAAAGAGAAAGATACACCCAATTGCATGCAGAATTCCAGAGAATAGGTAGAAGAGATAAGAATGCCTTCTTAAATGAACAGTGTAAAGAAATAGAAGAAAGCAATAGAATAGGGAGGACCAGAGATCCCTTCAAGAAAATTGGAGATATGAAGGGAACATTTCATGCAAAGATGGGCATGATAAAGGACCAAAATGGCAGGGACCTAACAGAGTCAGACGAGATTAAGAAGAGATGGCAAGATTACACAGAGGAACTATACAAGAAAAAGTTTAACATCCCTGATAAGCACGATGGGGTGGTCACTGACCTCGAGCCAGACATCTAGGAATATGAAGTCAAATGGGACTTAGGAAGTCTGAGCAGCAACAAAGCTAGTGGAGGTGACAGTATTCCAGCTGAGCTATTCAAAATCTTAAAAGACAATGCAGTAAAAGTGCTACACTCAATATGCTAGCAAATTTGGAAAACTCAGCAGTGGCCACAGCATTGGAAAAGGTCAGTTTACATTCCCATCCCAAAGAAGGGCAATGGCAAAGAATGTTCAAACTTCCGCACCATTGTACTCATTTCACATGCTAGCAAAATTATGCTCAAAGTCCTACAAGCTAGGCTCCAGCAGTATGTGAACCGAGAACTATCAGAAGTACAGGCAGGATTTTGAGGAGGGAGAGGAACTAGAGATTAAATTGCCAACATACGCTGGATCTTGGAGAAAGCTAGGGAGTTCCAGAAAAACATCTACTTCTGCTTCATTGACTATGCTGAAGCCTTTGATTGTGTGGATCACAACAAATTGTGGTAAGTTCTTAAAGAGATGGGAGTACCATTTCATCTGATTTGTCTCTTGAGAAACCTATATGTGCGTCAAGAAGCAACAGTGGGAACTGGACATGGAACCACTGATTGGTTCCAAAATGAGAGTTTGGCAAGGCTGTATACTATCACCCTGCCTATTTAACTTATATGCAGAGCACATCATGAGCAAGGTGGGACTAGAGGAATCACAAGTTGGAATTAAGATTGCCGGGAGAAATATCAACAACCCCAGATTTGCAGATGATACCACTCTAGTGGCAGAAAGTGAAGAGGAACTAAAGAGCCTCTTGATGTGGGTGAAAGAGGAGAGCACAAAAGTTGGCTTGAAACTCAACATTAAAAAAAGTAAGATCATGGCATCTGACACTATCACTTCCTGGCTAATAGATGGGGAAGAAATGGAGGTAGTAACGGATTTTATTTTCCTGGGCTCCAAGATCACTGCAGATGGGGACTTCAGTAAAGAAATTAAAAGACACTTGCTCCTGGGGAGGAAAGCTATGGCAAATCTAGACAGCATGCTAAAAAGCAGAGACAGCACCCTGCCCACAAAAGTGCGTATAGTCAAGGCTATGGTTTTCCCAGTTGCAATGTATGGCTGTGAAAGCTGGTCCATAAGGAAGGCTGAGCTCCGAAGAATTGAGGCCTTTGAATTGTGGTGCTGGAGGAGACTCCTGCAAGTTCCTTGGACCGCAAGGAGATCAAACCAGTCATTCCTAGAGGAGATCAACCCTGAGTGTTCTTTACAAGGCCAGATACTGAAGATGAAACTCAAATACTTTGCCCACCTAATGAGAAGGAAGGACTCACTGGAGAAGACCCTAATGCTGGGAACAATTGACGGCAAAAGAAGGGGACAGCAGAGGATGAGGGGGCTGGATGGAATCACTGAAGCAGTTGATCTGAGCTTATGTGGACTCTGGGAGATGGTGGAGGACAGGAAGGCCTGGAGGAATGTTGTCCATAGAATTGCGATGGGTCGGACACAACTTTGCAACTAACAACATGACATAATCCTGAGAATATCCATACTGAGCCCTGTCCTATATATCTTCCTTGGAAGGCTCATAAAAGTTGGAGCAAACACTGAATAGCTTATTTCTGGATACATCCATCCCTCTTCGAAGTCATGATCTGATGCTTTTCCATTGCTGAGCTGAGCAGGGTTGTCAAGGGTAGGATATTTTGGAGGGCCTTCATTCATAGGGTCGCCATAAATCAGAGATGCCTTGATGGCATTTAACAACAATTTTTAGCTTGTTGTATTTTGTTCTAGTCCAGGTTCTCACATTTACCAAGGAGGGTGTTTTCTAGGTCCAGGGTATGACTTGAATATGCTGAGGTGAACCTGGTTAGGTAGGGTGGTTGTGGGCTCTCCCACACTGCAGGCTCAAGATCTGTAAGGGATGCTTTAACTTGGGGTCCTGCACCGAGCAGCAGGTTGGACCTGGTAGCCTCATGGGCCCCTTCCAACTCCACTATGAAAAAGAACTATGGAAAAAAATCTATGAAGTCAGAATATTTGTCATAGGCTGTTTCCATTTCCGCTGCTTGCTTTGCCAGATAAGGACCCTTGGTCAGTGTGGCATGAATTGATCTGGTTCTTAATTTCCTTCCCCTTCCTTCATGTTCATTTATTCAGAGAAATGGGCTTGCATCCCTCTCTTTTGCTCTCTCTTTCAGCCAAGCTTATTCTACAGAATTATTGTGATGCAACAGTGAAAGTCTGAATTCATTGGAAGTATGATGAAAGATGCTTAAGACAGATAAACAAACGAATGCCTATTTGCTTTTCCGTAGCATCCTGGGAGTATCCTACTCTTTTATAAATCCTCAGATATGTTAATTGTTTCTCAGTAGAATCATTGGCGGCTTTCCTTGCTATGAAGTGCTGCAGCATTGCCAGATAGGGCTTCAAAGGAAAGAATGGAAAATAAATCATTTTCTCATAACTGAAACATCAGTTATCCTATTGCCAAGGCACTCAGTGTGTGTGTGCTATTGGTTCGGAAACATCTGAGCTAAAAACATAGGAAATTGCCTCAGTGTTATGCCAGGACAGGCCACTGGTCCATCGAATTTGGCAGCATCTACACAGACTGCCAGTCACTCTTCAGGATATCAAACAGGAACTGAACCATGGACCTTGTGCTCTGCAGCTGAGCTGCAGGTTCCCCCAAACCAAATAGGAGCAGCTATTTTAAAATTCAGCATCTTTGACCGCATTATAATGTACTTCCCTTGCATGAGTAGAAACATCCTTTGAGGGAGCAACCCTATATTCAGACTGCACTCATGGGAGATGCTGAGACTTAGCAGAAGCCC